TCCTCTGAGTCCGCACTTTCGTAACGTAATGCCGCTTTGACTGTCGGGAAGAAGTCTGCTGTGGAGTCCGCATCAGCACGGGCTCGGCAAAAGTGCGCATCAAGGGCGCAAATCGACCACACGGGGCGCTCGCGAGCACCCTTCTGAGATCTAAAAATGACAAATGGGACACACTACGGTCTCACGGACTTAACGGACACGCGCACGCGGCAGCCATTGTAAGTCCACAAGACCGAAAGTGCACATGAAGTGTGCCATTTGGGATTGGGCCGGAGTGTGCCATTTGGGATTGGGCCAAATATGGGGAGAACTCCCACTCACAATAAACTTCCAGGGTCTGAACTGGTTGCAGTTCCACTCTAGATCCATATGAGGGCGCTCACAGGCGGAGTGCAGAATGAATGGAGGTCTATGGAGCAATACCCCTAAAAATCCACTTTTCTCAGGATATAATTTTTTGTCTAGTAATTTGAATGTTGTATTCGAAAGAAGATGCAACAAAATTACACATTACTGGGTGTTAGATTTTTTAGAGTCACTTATTTGCTTTAAAAAGTCTTTTAAAATGTCAATGACGTCATACACATCGTACGACCAGGAACCTGCTTTACGGCAATCCTTCATTCACTGGTGCTTTCGCGCATAGACAGACGAGAGAAGCCGCGAAATTTAAAAATACTACTGTTATTGTGTCACGAAATGTAGTTTTAATAGTTTTTCAGTCGACAATGTAGTTGTTTAAAGCTCAAATCTGTGGTTTATTTATAAAGATAGCGCCTATTTAAAAGTTTGATCTGACGTGTTCGGAGTTGTGAGGACCAGTCTTTCACCGGGTCTCAGCGCTCTGCACCCCGCCTGGAACAGCCTTTCCTCGGCTAGTGCGTCTGACGTGTGCCGCTGGCTCTGATGTCTCTAGTAGTGGTTAAACGCAATAGTATCCAGCTGCAGACCCGCAGCACCACCAGTTTCAGAACCCCAGCGCCAGAACCGGAAGTAGGGGCGGAGCTTACGTTCTAACACCAGCGCCAGGACCGGAAGTGAGGGGCGGAGCTTACGTTCTAAACCGAGTAACGCCACCTAACGTTTTGGAGCGTAATTTGCTTAGACACGAAACGGCATTATTACACACGAAACGTCATACTTTATACTTATTATAATGATACATTAAGGTATAGTACAATAAGCATTTTAAAACAATGATTTTGTGTAATATAATTGTATATAGTTATCCGTTTCATTGTATTATGAGAGTTACTTCCTGGTCATGATGGTAAAAAAAATAATAAATAATAAATTTTATATAAAATATACTTTATTTCACAAGAACATGTGCAGCATGCATTTTTCTTTATGTAAAATAATGTCCAAAATCTTTGAACATTCGGCATTGTTTTAAAAGAAACAATAAAAATGTACCGTAAAACTTCAAATAATAGCCGAGTCCCAAATAGCCGATTGTCTCTTTAGCCTACACGCCTGGTGTGGCTGCAGGTTTGGGTCAATAAAGGCCGGTCTCAAATAGAGGTCGGGTCTGTTTTTTAGTTTCAGGTTGTATTTAATCTTCTAAAACCCGTCAGATCGTCCGCTTTTTGGCGGCCGCCAAAGCAAATTTGTGTCCCGCCAAAGCCTATTTTGATCGGTGAGTGATGTAGAATAGAATGACTGCTGCGCATGACGGGCGCTTAACGAGCAGAGAGAGAGAGAGCCCTGGCCGCGCGCGCGCACTCTGTCTTAAAACAACACGAGCGCTGTCTTGCTCTTTATTTGTCACATACCAGTTATAGTTCATACAACGAGCAGTGAAATGTAAGTCTGGTATTCCTATAGACTCACTGTGTAATATAAACATACCCTAAATATTATTTAAAAGATGCAACAATTTTAAATATTTTTAAATACTTGCAAAAATAACCTTGCTTGTGTCATTGTCAATAATTCCGCCCCTCCCTCACTTCCGGTTCTGGCACTGGGGTTCTGAAACTGGTGGTGCTGCGGGTCTGCAGCTGGATATATCTCGTTAAACGAGGTATAATTCGTCTTGTGTATATCTAACGGGAGATCTTTGGTCTTATTAATCGTATCATTTGTTCCCTGGCAAATCGTTTTGGCTGAGGGCAAAGTGAAGTTTCATAACTTTATATTTTGGCTATTTTAACGTTGTATCCTGCTGTGTCTGAATGGTTTACTTTATTTCTTGTCTTGTATAACTTATTATACCTTTTAGGCTACTTATACTGTTATAATGTCTCTTACTGATCAATAAAACTGAAATTTAACAAAAATAGACAGGGTTGTGTCATTTTATTTTATATAGCCTATATTTTATATAGCCTTTTCATTACTATTTTATTTGCTGTATACTGTTTGTTTATTTTATTGACTAAACTATTTACTATTACTCACTGTATTATATTTACTATTTGCACTGCATTGTAGTTGTACCATATCGTATTACCATAGATAAAGGATCCATCAGTTATCTTTGTTATTGCTAAAATCGGGTCAATCACAGAAAATGCGTTTTCCACAAAGCGGCCAATAGGGCGTCTGTGTATTTATTATGTTTATGCTTTTGCACTTTCTTTTCTCTCGAGGCATCAACTACACATCTGACACGGGTAAATATCTTTTTTTACAGTCTATTGTATATAAAGAGTTCAGTCCGCCTATGGCCTTAACATTGGTCCCGCTTCGGATGCCACGATGCCATCAAGCGGTGTCTCTGGTCGTAATCAGTCCTTCACTGACCAATCAGCGTCCATTAGCAAAATGCTAGCGTGTTATGGGCAACAACAACTCAACCTGTAAGAAATCGAAAGGACATAAGCACTCGTTCATTCAACTTTCGACCTATAACCCATGTTGAACTTGCAGAACCTACATTCAAATCTGAGATTTCTCAATGACAATCGGGTAAAAGAGACAAATTTAGCCGTCTAGCCCCATTGACTCCCATTCATTTTGCACTCGGACGATCGCCCCCAGTGGAATTCTGGTGGAACTACAACCAAAATTCGGTACAATAGGACTTAATAGGGAGTGGCCAGGCTTTCCGTAGACGGGCTTTGGTGGGAGTTCTCCCCATATTAGACATTCTCTGATATATCTCTTTTACAGTGGCATACCTGCGTTTCCACTCTTTGGCCTGCTGGGGGAGCAGTTTCAAACAGACGCACGATGGGTATAATTCTGCATATCAGCTTTTTGTGTTACTCTGTGTGATGATTTCTATCCACTGGAAGCACGACTAAGGATCTTGTATGCCTGCCATCATACTGTCATCGTCATTATAGTTATAATTATCAGTATAATATAGTATAGTATAATAATTATCATTATGCTTAAGGATTGATTCAGTACATCCATTTCTTTAATGACTTTCATATGTCTCACATAGGCCTAAATGTACTCAAATAAATATTGGTGCATAAAAAAATATTTTTGTTTCTGACTAAACATGTCATCTTTCCTAATGGCGTAACTAGTTTTTGAATATCTTTACAAACATAATCAGCATTTTGTCTTCAAATTGCTGAAATTTACAGCAGTAAATTATGAGGCCAGAATTATTGGGGGCAGAACGAGAGAGGGAGAGAGAGATTGATGTGTCCATGCAATCGCCAGTAGGCCAGCAATTAGATAATAGGTTGAGCTCAGCAAACAGATGCTTTTAACTGCCCTTATTGATTGCTCTGACAAGGTGTTTTTTTTCTATCCACCATCTCTCTGCGTTTTTCTGTCTGCAGTTTTTTCACTCTCTACTTGGCTTGAAAATACATGGATGCCACGGCTGGTGCTGATTTGGCAGGAATCACAGAATGCAGAACCAACAAAGAGGAAGATGGATTTACTCTGTATTAGCATTTAAAATGGTGCACTATAATTTTCCAATTAAAGACTAGAATATTCTCTAGGTAAGAGTACACTGATAGCAATAGGACATAGCCACTCTTTTACCATACATATTCAATAGTAAAATTTAGTCAACACACATTTATTACAATAATAAATATTTTACATGGATGACAGGAATGCGCTGTGTGAGTCACAGTGTGACCCACACTTTAACATCACACAGGTCCCGATGTTAAGGGGATACACTAATGTCAGTACAGATCCCTTGGTGGACATTGACTTAACTATATGTTCACAGAACTGTAACCCAAAGATGGTTGCAGGCAGTACTGAGCTCTACTGAGATGGTTTACTTTGGATGACTTTTTTGCCTTTTCTGTGCTGATCGTATTAAATCTGTGGAATAGATGTAAATAAAAAGTGTGTTCATCTGAACTGAGAGTACCACACTCTTATTTCTATCTAAAAGCATTACTCTCCTGTATCAAAATGTTTAAACATTCAAGTGAGGGGCATGACATTCGACTACTTCAATTATGTGGAAATTAGTTTCTGCTGAGTTCTGTGGGAGCAGATTCTGTTTGGGCCTGGTCATTAACAATGAAAGTGAAGAGGAATAAAGGAATGATGAAATATGAACGTAGAATCAAATAGACAAACGTATGTAGCATGCTTATCTTTTGGAAAGATAGCAATATGGTATGATGTTATAATCCCATGATAGCCTATGCATTAGGCTGCTTATTTAGACAATTCTGTCGTATTCAAACAAACTAATCCTGCGTTGTTACGTGCAGTAGCATAGCCTATGCTGAGATTTAAAAATATTTTTTAGAGTTGTAGTCCTGTTTTAATCTATTTTGGGAGTATTATTATTAGAGAAAGAATCTTTGTGATAAATATAAAAAATACCCCATGTAGGCTATTTTATATTGCACACTGTGCGTTTATTTACACGGCGGCGGCGGCGATACAAAACAAGAAGGACCTGACAAGTGCACTTAATGCTGACGCCTGTGCAAACTACGCACTCTACACACAGGCACTTTAGAACTGGGTGGTTGAGAGCGAACAACAGTGATGCATCGTCTCCTATGATCGTCTCGCGAGAACTCTATGGTTTGTTTGTTTTTTTTAGTCGATTTTGCTTATTATAATGATTCTCCCCCTACCGACACAGCAGTGCAGTGCGACTCTTCTCCTAGTTCCGTCAGAGGCTTGATCCAGCGTTAAAATCAGACAGGCAACACTATAATTCACTCCCTTCACGCTACCCCTAGCACAGTTGTCCTGCTTTTGCTTATCGCCCTACGGCACGGCAACAATTCTGGCTTTCTTCATTCAAGGACAAGCAGAGGAGGGGAAGAGCCCAGGGCAGAGGCGCTGAAGCAAAGCCGGCTTGTGAACTGGAATCGCCAGGTAGCCTACAATAATTCAGTCATCTTTGTGGCTTCTGTAGCTTTTAACTACTCGGGCACTATATGTTCTTCAGTTGACGAGTCCAACAGGCTACATTGTGTAAAAATAATAAAATATATATAGTAGATGAGATCAGAATTTAGCGTCAGGGTAGTTACTCTGGGCATATTTACATTTCGATTCATGTTGCATTTATATACGATTAAGGCAGTTTTGTTTATATTATATCGTGTGTTTTTGTTGTTGTACAGTAATTAATAGTGATCGGTCTTAGGGGTTTTAATTAAGAATATAGTGACGTTTAACGGCGTTGATTATTTTATGTAATTTTGAAGGCCAACCCGATTATTGCATAATTGTTATGAAGCACTGACTTTAATTTCTGTTCTACAGTAGACTACGCTAAATACTGATAATTCCTGACAAAATGCTGCTAGAATTGTGCGCATTGCGAAGAAATATAATTATAAACAAGTAACGTTAAGTAAACCTAAAAACATTGTGAGTATTAGATGCTCGTGCCTTTAATGGTCATATTTGTGGCGCTGAAGAATGGATGAAATTAGACATGCTAGAGAAATACAGTGGCGCACGCGCACTCGGAGACCCTGGTTTCATGATAGCAAGTCTTGTTTACCTTCAGCACCTGTCTACTTGTAACCTTTTTAAAACCAATTTAACTACAGCGTCAACCGATCGCTCGTTTGCTTTGAATCCTTCTGGTACGTAAGGCTCAGTTTACGTGCGTGTCTGTGATTTCTGTTTATTGAAGTTCACCGCAAAACACGGCGATTGGAATTATAAAATGTTGTCGGATTTCCCTCTCATAGCTTTTATGTCAGGCTTAGATGAATGAGTTCATTATGTTTATTACGGGTAGCCAAATTGTTTTTTTGTTGACACTTATTTGAATGATTTGGGTCTTTACTGCTATGCTGATATCTCCATGTAGCCTAACTTACCCATTATATGTCGTAATGCACTCCCAATGTGTAGATATAACACATAGCCTATTAGTTAGCCTGCTCCCCCCCATACACACAATTATGTAGGCCAGTGTTGGGGTAGTTACTCAAAAAAGGTAATTAGTTACTAGTTACTAGTTACTTCTGTAAATTGTAATGAGATTACTTTACTAGTTACTGCGTTTGAAAAGTAACTTCACTACTTATTACTTTACTTTCCCGTTTCTTAATTTATGGACAAATATCATAGCCCTATCATCACTTAGCCTGTCTACATAGTGTTTATTGTATAAATATATACAAAATGGCATGTAAAACCATATGAAAGAACAATATCCCTGTCTGCACAAGGAAATATATCTCACTGTAAAATCCACAAACAACAGGATAAAGGAGGCTATGGTGCGGTCATTTTAAAATGGGGTCAACACACAAGTTTTAAAACACAGGCTTTGGGAAACATGAGAATAAACTCTTCTCCTGAGAACAAAACAAGCTTTTTATTCGACTCATGGCAATAAAAATAAAAAATGAAGTGGTCAATGAAAAATAATAAAATAAAGGTCACTTTTACATTTTTAATCTTAATTTAAAATGCATTTTTCTTGGCGATTCAATAGTCGGCAGGGGAAGCATTCCTCTACAATGAACCCTGCAACAAGCCTGTTCATTTTGTTTTGTGTTACCTGCTGTGCTCCAAGACTTGAGAAGAGTTTTTGTAACAGCGCGCGCGGCGCCGAATCCGAGGATGAACGACTTCAAGAAGCCGAATCTGCCCGAGCATGTAGCCTACGTCTCACCGTGACCGCACCGGCACACAGTTTGCGTGTCTAAATCAGTTGCTTATGTTTACAAAATGAGCCTACAATAGCATAATAAGCATTTTTAATAGAAAGATCCATGTTTTATAAAATGTCCACGAAACTTAATGAAATGTTTAGTGAAATTAGAAACTATTTAAGAGATCGTTGATTTAGTTCTATAGTCTACATACATGTTTTTATATCCACATTTTGTTCTAATGTCACAAGTAATAATCTCAGGGTTTACTGGATTTTACGTACACGATTCTTTTGGTAGTGTTATTGGTGGTGATGTAGCCTACTAAAATAAACATCGTCACGTGTGGACCTTTCTTCTTCTCACCGTTGATTCCTGATGGTTAAGAGGACAATTACTCGAGTCGCCCCGTCGTTTCACAGAATAGTACAATGGCGAGCGCGTCGAGTATAAACGCCTCGTCCGTTTGGGGAGGTGCGCGTGCAGTCAGCGGAGACTCGCGCTGCAGAGACCCCCTGTCTCCGTCTCCGTCTCCATTTCCCTCTCTCCTTCGCACCGGCAGCTATGTCACTCAAATCGATCTCTATGGCAACGGTGCGCACGCACCACTAGACAGAACTTTACACACAAGCAAACACGGCTTGGGTAACGCAGGAAAGCGCGTTCCTATAGTATAGTAAAGTAGTGTAGTTACCGATATTTTTAGTGTAATGCGTTACTTTACTTCGTTACCCAAAAAAGTAATACCGTTACTGTAATCCGTTACTTTGTAACTCGTTACCCCCAACACTGATGTAGGCCTATCACAATTATATGGACATAGGGATGGATTTCAAGGAATTTTATCTCTTTTTGCGTGGGTGTTACCATTTTTTCATCTGATCTTGTACACTGCAGTTTAAGAAATATTCCAGATGTTTCCTTTTTCTAATTAAAATATTTCAAACAAAACAATTTTCTTGGAAATATTTTTTCTTAATTGTTTTTCTGTATGTGTCCTCAATATCACTTTCCATCATGTTAGTCTTCTGTTGTTTCCCTTTATCTTTCAAAAGCCAATCTGTGATAACATCATCCTCCAGGCAGATATTGATGAAATGTTTCAGTGACATTTTCCTAAAATGGTTCTAAATTAAATTACTGGTGACATCCTCATGTAAGCTAACTCAAATCCCTCCCTGATAAAAGTCTTAACTGTACCTTTTTTCTATGCTCAGTTGCAACAACAAAAAAACCTTATAGTGATAATTGAATGGTTTTCTTGATTTAAACAGAGCACATTTCTGAAAGTCTGATACCCACAACACAGGCATATTAATTGAAGTTAGATAGCTCAAAATATACTGCATTACAAGAATGACCCACTTGGTCTCTCAATTACATAGAGACTTCTGACTCAGATGTTGATGCAGTTATGATAAGCTTTTAGACTTCAGAAGCTGTGCTCCGCTGGGAAAAGTTAATTATAGTCGTAAAACTGCCTCAGAGAAGGGCAATTAACGTTAATATTCTATTGTAGCTTGGACACTACCTCATCAACTGGGGGATTGTTTGGAAACTTAAAATATTCTGGTTGTAATTGTAATATTAGCATGTCTGCAGTTGGCTTCTGGACAGCATGAGCACAAGTGTGTATGCATGGGCACGTGTTCACAGCTGAGCACTCTCTCATGAAATATTAGATGGACAGACCACGAAACGGAAAATTCCATCGATCTCAGTGCCGCTCATCAAACTGTCAGTTTTGAAATGTTTTGGCCTATTGGTCATGTCACGCTGTGGGTACCACGAACTGACAACACAAATAGAGCGTCATTTAGGTTTGCTTGTGGTATTAATTTGATTAAAATCTTAGCTTCCACTGTTAGTAAGAAGGAGATTCGAACTAATCACGCTTATTCTATTCTGTGCTTTATGGAAACAAATATGAAACCAAGTACTGACTGGACAAATAAGTGAGGATGCAATGAGGAGTGCAGGCTCTTAATTTCCATGGCAACAGAGCTCAACCTGAGGTAGATTAAGGTTTGCTGGCTGGCAGTGATTGTGACACTTGCAAAGAATGAGAAAGGAACAGATATGACTAATGGCTTAGCATTAAAGTTTCCCGTTAAATTGAAAAAGACAGACTGTCATTCTTCCTCATATGAAAGAATTGTGGAAAGTTAGACAGAGAAAGAAAGCTGTGTGTTTAATGACATGATGGTGTGCACAACAACGTGTAATCCCAAGCTGAAAGCAAACCCCCCAGTGAACTTCATACATGGATTCCAGGATCTAATTTGAGTCCCGGCACCCTCTCGCCCCTCTGCGTCTATCCGCGATCCCCACTTATAGCTACCCTTGCCCCCCATTTCCGGCATGCAGCTGTCTTTTAAGATATTAATAAATCCATTGAGATGCTGTGACTGATGAATTGCGTTGCAGTCCCCCAAGCCTCTTTTCACTATTGATTCCAATATTATCTTACTTGTTATTTTAAGATTGGTTTCTCTGAAACAGCCCAGAGTTTATGTAATGAGCAGTCCAGTTTAATGCATTTGGCACCAATTCCTTATTAAGATATCTTTTATCCTAATAATCCATGGATGGTGCCTTTTGAAAGCCTCTATTTCATTATTTTGCAGAACACAAAAGAAAATATTTGTAAGAATGTTTCAAATGTTTTTCCATACAATGAAAGTTCATTGTATGGGAAAAAACAAACATTTTCCGTGTTACACAGAAGAAAGAAAGTCATAGGCTTGTTAACAACATCAGGGTGAGTGAATTGTCATTTTTGGGCAAACAAACTCTTTAATTGTGTAAAGGTTGGGTTGCTGAGAACACTTACAGTAAGTGATGCTTTGTGTAGGGTGCTTGTAAAAGAGAAAGGGTTGGAAAGACAGAGAGGCAGATGGACTGATAGAGAGAAGTAACACCCTCAAAAATAGAACCCCACACAGGCAAAGGAGGCTGGGGGAACAGAAATAGCCTTGTTTAAACAGACCCTCACACAGCTGCAGTTAAATTCATGTGCTTCTATCCCTAACTGTGACCCCAAAACTAATCCAGTCAGCATAGCAACCAGGCAACATGTAAAACATAAACATTCACCTCACAGGTGTGTTTGTGGGTCCTAGACAGTGAGCATTAAACCTAACTAGAGCAGACTCTGAATTTATCTACGGATCAGTCCCTTTTTGGTTGGTCGCACTGTTTTAGCCTGCTTGGCCCTGTCAGTGTTCATTCAGTCACAATAGACTTTGAGCATGCACATTTTAAATGTACATTGAATTCTATCAAGAAGCCGGTATTTTTTGCTATGAAAATTTTGCAGCTATTGAAATTTATTCTTGGGGAAACTTTCTTTGAATGAGCTTGTGTTTCTGGTATTCAGCATTCACATGCATAGGATGAAATTGAATGGATCGCAAATCTGTTTTGTTGCCTCAGTTTTGTAACTTTTGTCTTTCATCCACAGGTCATACTGACCTTGGCTCAGAACAGTGAGATCACAGTAGTTTCCCAGCGAACAAAAGAAAATCACCATGAAGACCTCAGACATTTTCCTTCTGCCCGCTGTGCTCCTCATGTTCCTTTTCAACTGCTGTCTCGCACAGAGTGAATCTGACCTCGTAGTAGCAACGAGGCTGGGTCGTGTGCAGGGTGTACGCTTGCCTGTTCCAGACCGGAATAATGTGATCGCTTTCTTGGGCATCCCGTACGCTGAACCTCCGCTGGGGAAGAGGCGTTTCAAGAAAGCAGAGTCCAAAAAGCCCTGGAATGGTGTCTTCGAGGCTAGAGACTACCCAAATGCCTGCTATCAGTTCGTAGACACCTCTTACCCAGGCTTTCCAGGTATCGAGATGTGGAACCCCAATAGAATGATGAGCGAGGACTGCCTGTACCTTAATGTGTGGGTACCTCCTACCCCTAGGCCACAGAACCTCACAGTAATGGTCTGGATATATGGTGGAGGCTTCTATAGTGGCTCCTCCTCTCTTGATGTCTATGATGGCCGGTACTTGGCATACTCTGAAAAGGTAGTGGTTGTGTCTATGAACTATCGTGTTGGAGCTTTTGGATTCCTTGCCCTCAATGGCTCATCAGAAGCACCAGGAAATGTGGGTCTCCTTGACCAGAGAATGGCCCTCCAATGGGTCCAAGAAAACATCCACTTCTTCGGCGGTAACCCAAAACAGGTCACCATTTTTGGAGAAAGTGCTGGAGGAGCATCAGTTGGCATGCATGTTCTGTCACCAGACAGCCGCCCGCTCTTCACACGTGTTATAATGCAGAGCGGTGTTCCTAATACACCCTGGGCTACCGTTAGCTTTGATGAGGCCCGTCGGAGAGCCACCTTGTTGGGCAAACTCGTTGGCTGCAGCGAGGGTAATGATACTGAGCTGGTTGACTGCCTGAGGAACAAACATCCACAGGAACTAATTGATCAGGAGTGGCAAGTGCTCCCCTATAGCAGCTTGTTCCGCTTTTCTTTTGTCCCTGTCATAGATGGTGTTTTCCTTCCCGACACCCCAGATGCCATGATTAGCTCAGGGAACTTCAAATACACTCAGATCATGCTGGGTGTAAATCAGGATGAGGGATCTTACTTCTTGCTTTACGGTGCACCGGGATTCAGTAAAGACAATGAGAGTTTGATATCTCGAGAAGAATTCCTTGAAGGCGTGAAGATGAGCGTTCCCCATGCTAATGAGATTGGCTTGGATGCAGTTATCCTTCAGTACACTGACTGGATGGATGAGAACAACCCCCAAAAGAATCGAGATGCCATGGATGATATTGTAGGAGATCAAAATGTCATCTGTCCTCTGCAGCATTTTGCAAAGACTTACGCCCAGCACACTGGCCTCCATACCCAGCCAGGAGCCGCAGCTCCAGGGACACTAGGCTGGGGAAACTCAGGACCAACAGGCTACAACAGTGGCAACTCACATGGTAAGGTCATTATAGTGGTAAAGAATAACAGTGTAAAACACACCGGAGTGAAGCATCAACAGTTAATAAACTTAATGCAACCTTGCCGAGTCTGACAGATGTCAGTATAAAATCCAAGACCGATGGGATGAAGATAGAGCAACACGGACATTAACAGAGTGCATCTTTAATATGAAATTGTGCAATACCAGTTTTTCTCAATCTATACCCCTTCTTCCTTTTGTCCTTAGGTGCTGTTTACCTTTACCTGTTTGACCATCAAGCTTCAAACCTGGCCTGGCCTGAGTGGATGGGCGTAATCCATGGTTATGAGATTGAGTTTGTGTTTGGCCTGCCATTAGAAAAACGACTCAATTACACAGCAGAGGAAGAGAAACTCAGTCGACGAATGATGAGATACTGGGCAAACTTCGCTCGCACCGGGTAAGAGGTGGCAAAATAGCAAAAGAGTTGGTGCCCATGAAAGATTTGTCTTCATTCTTTTTCAGAAAAGGTTTGATTTATCTAATAGTTGTGTAGTTTTGTATTGTTGCCTGGTAGGTTAACTCCCTACATTCTTTTTTCTGTCTCCATGAAGTAATCCCAACATTAACACTGATGGCTCCATGGACAGTCGGAGGCGGTGGCCTCAATTTACAGCTACTGAGCAAAAGCATGTGGGCTTGAACACAGAGCCACTGAAGGTGCACAAGGGTCTAAGAACACAGGTTTGTGCTCTGTGGAACGGCTTCCTACCTCGCCTGCTTAACATCACAGGTAACAAACCCAAGCAGTATATTCCTCTGTCATGCAATTACATTGTAGATCTTCCATGTTTAAAGATATAATATAGAGATATAGGTCATTTTCTTAGAGTTTAGTTTAAAGATGAGAAACTGCAGGTTTGTGTTTTATGGACTGGGTCAGTGGAATTTATTGTTGTTTAGTAGAGGGAGTCTACATAACGGTAAGATTAATCATCTTACAAAAGAAAATGTGTTAGGTTCACCTTTTCCATCGAATTGTCCTCTCTCTTACATTTTTTATTAACAAATTTAAGTCTGAACAAAGTACAGCCATAATATAAACTATACACTGTTTCTCAAGGAAATGCCTTGTCTGTGCTAGTGTATCTGTTTTGCTCAGAATCTAAACAAATGTCCTGTGCCAACTATTACACTGGAAGTGAACCAGAATATAAAGCAATTAAACACTTGCTCTTGGGTGGGGGCAGGGAGGATTGTGCAGGCCTGTCCATAGTAACTTAGAATTGTAAGTTATAAATTCTCCTGTGGGAGCTGTTGCCAAATTCTTTGTTAAATGGGCGGGACCTTTATATTGATGCATTACTGTTGAGTAGTTAAGTAGTAATGGATTACTTAGTTTCTACAGCTCTCTATACAGAAATGTTCCTCTTTTCTGCCATTCTTAAAATCATAATTCCCTCAACATTTTTCTCTTGCCTTTCTGTCAAAGCTCATGCTGTTGTTTTCCTCATTTATTCCCATATTTCTTACCCAGAAAACATTGATGATGTTGAGCGACAGTGGAAAGTGGAGTTCCATCGCTGGAGCTCTTACATGATGCACTGGAAGAGCCAGTTCGACCATTACAGCAAGCAGGAGCGCTGCACAGATCTCTAGATAAATCTGGTGTTAATGTAAGAAAGTGCAGATCAAAGAAAGGGAAAACCGATGACCATAACCCTTAATAGTCTCTTTTCAGAACAGCAAAGGTTGCCAAAGCTTTTTCGTTGATTAGTCTCTGAGTAGGCATGAGTGTGAATTTGTGAATGTTGCACTTCAGTGCAGTTTTGTTCCTCCCTGTGTAGAATATTATACTTATCACTCTATTATATTATGTGAATATATATATAAAGAGAGGATGTGAATTCAAGATGCTATTAGAGATTATCAAGTGCTGCGGTCATCAAATGTATGTATCAGAAAAAAATGTTATAGTTATATTACCTCTGAACAGTGAGAGTGCATGTCTGTTCCATTGGAACCTAGAAACCCTCATTTACACTGGTCCTCAGGATCCCACTTTTTTAAAATAATTTTCTTGTTTTTATCCTGTGTTTTTATTGGCTTCAATTATATTGGCTGATTCACCATACATTTATCTCCATAATGTATCTACCACATCGACTCAGTAATTCATGTGCTACTTTATCCTGCTGTCTCTGCTTTCTTACTGTGGTCCAACTCAAAATACTAATACTTCATGCTGGAATCAGGAGCCATTTAATTTCGTGTATATTGTTTAACTGTACGGAACAGTTTCTGTGTGGGCGAGTCTGTGTATTAATGTACTAATATTTAAAACCTATTTTTATTTCGATTGCTACTTATATTGCATGTAGTCTAGTGCCCACAGCATGACTCTTGTGTGTATGTATGAGAGAGAAAGTCTGTTTTTACCATATACCAACTACATAGGACAGTATACATGTCTGTGTATTTCACCTCTCCTTAGTTCAAATTTCATATGGGCATTGTATGTTTGAGTATTTTATCTGGGATGGAGCGAGTAAGACTAATGTTGTCTGTGTGCCAAAGGGTCAATATCATTTTTCCCCCTTGCTGTTTCCCTGTCTCGATGGGAAAGGCTTCTCATTACGATAATGGAGAAGAGTAATTTACTTAGTGCTCATTTTAAATGACAGCCCGCTGTGTCAGCCATCTTAACTCCAGCCCTTTTGATGCAGTGGGAGGATGATGAAGGAAAACACAGGCAAAGTGAAGAATACAGGGTTACTAAATCCACTCCTGACATGTTCTATATTTATTGTAGTAATTGGTGTATTTTTTATTTAAGTAAATTATTTGCATGATTGCATCAAGTATCAAAAGAACTAAAAGTTTTTAGTTAGCTTAAATAAGAGCAAATGTTTTATTTATTTTGTGTATTTATTAAAAGTGTGGAATTGCATACGTATATATTGAATTTTGCCTGTACATCTGGATCAAACATTATTTTGTATTTTACTGTGTGAATGTATCATGGTCAATCATTCTATCATAATATACACTGGCATATACATGTGAACATGCCGAATTTGTGAATGCTAGCCTATGCCCGTCTCATTGACTTCCCGTCAGTCTGTTTTTACTAAATATGTCTAGTACCATTCATCTAGCATTTTGTTAACACTGGACTGGATCTGCCTGAGTGCTGTGATGAGACAGCAGATCTTCCAGCACACAAAACGATAGGTTGACATTAAGCATTTAACCTCTGAATATGACTGGAATAATGTAGATTAGCTTTGAACAATGCCATTTAAAATGAAAATAATATGTTGTACTAGCTATAAAATGTAATACAAGTATGGTGCAATTATGTGTGTTTGTTTAAGGGTATGAATGAAAGCTGCTCTTTTCCACCTCTCTCTTCCACTCCATGAAATCCCCCTGTGCATGCCTTAGACCCCTCCTCCTCTGTATTATGTGCTTTTAAAATTGACTGTTATCCTCTCTGACAATATTAGATCTGATGTCTGTTTATAATATTACACATTTATAGCTATAAAAACATTATAATAGCCCAGATATAGATATTGATGTTAGCAATAACAAAATACACTTAAAATGGAATATATTTATTTGAATGTTTTGATAGTCATGTAATGTCACAGGCTTGACTGATAAAAACAGTGGTCATGAATTGACAGCAATGATCATAAGTATTGTAACTGTTTATAAATCAGCTGTTTCTTCAAAGCAATATAGAGTGTGCCATATGCTATATATTTTTTCTTCAGTTAATGTTATTGTTTGGCTAATTTGCATTAGCTTGGCTTTAAAAGTTTCCTAATGTCGTTTATTAAGGCAATTCTCAAGTAAATTGGTTGAGGAAACCTGCCTCTTAATTTCATCACAAAGAGAAAATGTTATCTATAAATGGGCTATTATATTGTAAATTAATATTATTCTACCCCAAATATATGTAGAACAATGCGCATAGCTAAACAAGCATGTGTTCTGCATTTGTTGCACTTTGACAACATTTATATAATAATAGAAATCACTGTTACTGTTCTTTTTCTTCCTTTCTTTTTTATTTGATCCAGATATCGCCTGTCGTGTCAAATTAGTGCCAAACATGTATAGCATCGTGCAAATCCTCCGCATGATGTTATTTGTCATATCCGCCTTCTTTGGGCACCATATCAGAAGCTTTCCAACGTAACCACAATAAACAGTTATTGACTTAAAGGAAAGCTGCTTGTCTGTGTGGTTCTTCTCTCATTCAAAGTTTAGACCATCTGAACGTGAATTCTAGTAGTTGATTGTTTTGTGCACCAGAGGGCAGCATACGCAAGATTATAGGCTACATTGTACGAGCCGACAAAACTTCCTTTTAATAAACTTAGTAATTGTATCTTTACACACATATATTAAAATATAGTGTATATATTTAATTATGTAATTCCTGGATGTCCCATGTATTGTAGGCCTTTATAGCACAACATACAAAATAATAAATTAGTTTTAAGCGTAACGTTAGTCATCTCGGTGATGATCACAATGACGAACAAGATAGGTAAAAAAGCAGCAACGGTTTCATCTGAGACAACAGCAACCGTATCACTTCCTCCATAATACGTTGACATAATTTTGGACCAATAAATATAAAAACTAGGTATAGATCAGTTGTATGTATACAGAGCGCAATTAAACGGAAGAAAACATGTTTAGAGAAATCTAATTGCGCAGTTTGAACGCAGCTTTGAATGTCTTGAGTGCCTTTCTGTTGTTGACCAATAACAACCGAAGCCTGTAATTTAGACCAATAAGCACCATTGAATCACAGTGTCATCTTTATGGCGCACTTATGCTACCCGTATAGTTAAAAATGCTTTTATTATTGTTTCATAATGTAAATAGTTGAAGAATAAGTATCATAGTTTATGCCAGTCATTGCTAACTTACCCAAGTTAGCTAGCTTTCTCCTAACATTTCTTAACCGCAGTCCTCAGTTGTAAATCAAAACAATGACTTCCGCCTCTACTAAGGTAAATGGGTTTATAAATATGGTAACGTTATATAAATAACGATTAAACGTCTGTCTTTATAGTGTACATCCATGCTAACTGGTTCGCCGTATTTTATTTTTTGTCTTGGTTTGTTAATGAAGCTATTAATTGCTAGCATGCTAACTATCAACCATATGTCCGTTTCTGAAAACATACACGTTTTCATAAACATTCGGTACAGTATTTATTTCTTGCTTTACGTATTTAGGTTGGTGAGATCTTTTCTGCAGCTGGAGCTGCTTTCACAAAACTGGGAGAGTTAACCATGCAGCTGCATCCAGTGGCCGATATTAGTCCAGCAGGGTGAGACACTCTCTATTCACCGCAAGGTCCTTTATTAAACACACAATGCATTAGTCTTTTGGTTTATGTACTGCTACTATTTTTTTAGAGAACGTGTACTTTGTGTAATGGACATGGCCCGTACATGGAAAACATTTACATGAATAATTTGACCTATCTTTTGGCTTGTTTTATTTTTGAATTTCCCAAGGATCCCTCAAAAGTTGACAACACTCCTTATCTACTTTTTAATATTATCCCACTTAGTTTGTAGTTTGCAATTGCTCCAAGATGTCATGGACAAGATAAAGTATTGTTTTCAATGATATTATGGGCCTTGTAACTTCTATTGCTGTTTACTGGGAGAGCTAGGTGGATATACACTGAAGTCCACTTATCCATACAAAAACTCAATGTAGACACCCTTCTCACCGTTTTGTTGTTTTACTATGGGTTAGAGTCTATCTATACAAATTGTCTTCCTCAAATGCAGGTGAAATTTGCACTTTTTAATTTGCAGTTAACATTTTTCTTAAATCTAGTGAGGATTGCTATTTTCTAGATTCCCATTCCTTGTGGAAATTCAATAAAAGCCAAAGAAGATTCTGAAAAAGTTTTAATGTTTTATATTTGTGTTTGTAGGCCATAAAAATTTCTCAGTAATTAATTAGACATTTTCTAAACATAAGGCCACAAGTGAAGACAACTGTCAAGAGGAAGATTTATGAAGATGGTGGAATTCCTTTAACCACCGATTCACCAAAGAAGAGTACGAAAAAGGTGCCAGTTTCTATGGCTCCCCCTGCCCCACCGAAAGTCATCGCTGTGCCAACATCTCAGGTTGTGGTGACTGCAGGTTTACAGCGCCCAACCACAGGTGCATCTAGCATTAAGTCATCAAAAACAGCAGGTGAGCATTCCTTAGTGTTGCATTTCATTTTTACACTTGAAAAAATCCTACTTTCACTTCAACTGATTTAAGGCATTTTAATATAGTAAAATATAACTAATGCATTCATATAATTTACCCTCAGATGTCACTCTGAGTGCACTGAATGACTCTGATGCCAACAGCGATCTGGTAGATATCGAGGGGTTGGGTGATAGTTCCACATCTAAAAAGCTAAATTTTGATCAAGGTAAGAGACCGTTTCTCAATATTTCGGATTTTCTCATGTATATATTTAAATTACTTATATCGTGCTATTCATGTTTTTCCACATTATCTGTTATTTCCTTTGTTCCTGGTTCTTAAGGTAAAAATAATATCTGTATTTATTTTTTCCCTGCAGATAGTCTAAATCTTGACTCCAGTCTCATCATGAATTCCAGCGACTTGCCATTGTTATCCCGTTGAAATCTTCTGCAACATACTATCAGGAAATTGAACTAATATTTTCACTTCAGTAAAGGAGCAAGAAACTTGCATTTTCTTAATCTGGTGAAAATGTTTCTTTTTCCAGTAAAAGACTAATTTCTAAGTTAATAGTGAAGGTTGGCATATTTACATTTATCAGTGTAGAACAGTTTTGAAAGATGCTAACAAATATTGCTTAATACATATTGATGTTCTTGGTCCAAAAGGCCTCATTTTAAAATAAGTTACTGTAAAGGCATTATTGTGGGTTTTTTTTTTTTAACCATTCCAAAAAAACATTATAACCAGTACTTTGTTTTGTGGGGGAAGTGTGGCCAAAAGGCTTGAAATGTATTGCTGGTTGTCGAAACTTTGTTTGGTAAACTGTTAAAAAAAGTTATTTTTTCATGTTTAATTTTATATATATATACGTTTATTTTTTGCAGTACCTTTGGTCTATTTCCCATTCCCACATAATATTACTTAACATTTTTCCACCAAAAAAGAGAAAGTAAAAACAGTGCCATCTCCTATAGCTAAAACACAACAAAAAAAGTTGAACTCAACTTAACTCAACTCAACTCAACCAGGTTTTTCTGGAATCATTTTAGAGCAGTGTGGCAGTAGCATCTTCTATATAAATGCAGCTTTAGCAAGTTAATTTTTGTTTAACTTGTATAAAATTCTAACCTAGTGGGTTTATTGATCTGAGCTAATTTTTGCATAATTGGGCTGTTAACGAATTAGTCATATAGTCTTAGCCCTACCAATGTTTCTACATGGAGAACAGCCAAATCAGTGTTAAATCACTGATTGCATATTGAAAAGAGTATGTAAAATGCAGCCCAGCAGATCTCCTCATAATGACACTTTCTGCCAATATCTTTGTTCCTCATTTGTCAGAAGTAACTTCAATAATTGTGGCCAAGAGTGTGTAAGTTAGAATGATGTTATTTTTAATGATGTTTTCTTGCAAGACTGAACAATGGCTTTCATTTTAATTATGAGATTGTCATGGTAAAATACATACAATAATTCATTTCTGGACAGGTGGTTTTCATAATGCTCCAAATACTGGAGAGTCGTTGAGTGTGTCTGTCTGACGGGAGCAGCACAAACCATACTGGCAACCCAGGGAGAGGGCAGCTGCCAATATTGATGTGCTGCTACTGTCAGGCACACTGAGGCATCAAGTGGTCCAAGGGAGGAAAGATGATGAAAGGAACATACAAAAAATATATGCAGATTAATTCAACAAAACCTTTAATGGTCATACTATTAAAGAAAAAAGCAATGCAAAGCAAATAAAGGATGTGAATTCACAGCTTTTAAAGAATAACTCACTGAAGACCTGGTGATTCAGTCATGAATCATTTATTGTTTGTCTGGTCATTTGTAAAAAAAAAAATATATATATATATATATATAATATTATATTTTGAGTTGGGGAAAAAAACCCTGCTTTCACACATTTTTATTCATAAATCTGAAAGACAGCTTTAACTTGAAACCTGATTATAAATACAATACAGATAGAATATCACATTACTTGTTATCAAAAAGCTTACCTCTGATCAATTTATTACAATCAGATTTATGATACAAGCAGAACACTAGGTGTTTCATGCTGTCATGTTAATGGAGTAACTCCCAGGCTCCCAGTGACAGCACATCATAATTTGGAATTTGCCCTTAGAACTTACAAACCATGATGTGCTGCTACAGGGCACTCTGGGCTAAATAAAAAGATGACGACAGACTTCATTGGTCCTCACTAGGATAAGATTAGAGACAAAAATTAATTGTTGGATTAAATGTGACATAGAAATGTCTTATGCATATTTAGCGCCATGACTAAGTTATTACAAATTAATGAGAAAGCAATATGAACAAATTGCTTCTTTTGTTTCTAAAAAATGTAATAAAAGTTGTGTGACAGCAAAGAGTGACAGCATTACTGCAATTTCTCTGGCACAGACAATCATGTGGAAGCTTGTGGTCATCCACTTCTTTTTAATGACAGTCTAATAATGCCCTTTGAGACTTAATAAGTGAGTTACTGTGCACACACTGTCCTAAAATGGATGTTGAGGATGAAGACAAAATGGAGGATAACAAAAGGGGGAGATGAGGAGGAAAAAACTAGTGCCTGTCAAAAAAGGTTTTATTGCCATGGGAATAATTTACTTTGAGTGAAATGAAGCAAGCAAAAATTATAATTTATTATTAATATTTATTTTCTTTAAAAAAAAATTATCTTCCAACTTCTTAGGCTTAATATTGTGAAACAAGATTAAGTATCACTCTTATAAATCAAAGTATATCTAATAGCATTACACATACAGTAATTTAAATTTTTTATGAATAATCCAATGAAGTAATTGTTGGCAATTTTTTTTTTTAAATTAACTTCAAGGATTAAAAGTAAAATTTGTCCATATGTATAATAAAAATAAAAAAAAATAAAAAAAAAAGAGGACAGAAAAATAATGCTTGTACACTCCACACGAATCATTTTCAAAAAGACAAATACTTAGCAAAAAGGGGCAAGTATATATTAACAATCAATTAAAAAGAAACATAATTACAAATTTAAGGTTTTTAACTTTTAGGTCTGCAATATATTGAATAACACGGTAGGTTTTAATTATGGAGAGATAAGAGGATGAGTGAGGCGAGAAAAAGGGAGAAACATCTGATAAAAAAAAAAAAAAGAGTGTGATTTTGACACTACCAGATTAGTTTTAAGATGAATTACTGTAGTATTCATCTGTAAAAAGCCAGTGATGGTCAAAGCGATGAGGGTATATGACAGATAATTTGTTGCAGTGTGTAAAAGGTAAAATGGCCCATCACTACATTTCACTGTTTTTTTAATTTTATTATTATTTTTTGTTGTTTTTAAATAGCTTGTAAATAAATTAACAAAAATAGGAAACAGAAGCTTACACCTACAACACTGGACCAACATAAATGTAGCATCAATTAAGTAGGAAAACCACATAATCACTGTTTTACTGAAAAACTCATTTTATTTATATTTTGCTCAAAACCAATGACTAACAAAAGTTGAAAGGCCCAAAAAAGTATTTGATATTTATAATCTCAACTGTTGTGGCAGAGAAAAAGAAACACCAAGTATTTATGAAGGGCTTCGTTTTTTTCTTTTAAGTACACCACACCCTATGTTGTCTGATGAAGTTCTAATGTCAGCAGAAAATCAAGGCCTAAATACAAAATAATTAATTCTGACTATTGTAATATGCCAAAACATGATCTTTAATTTTTGCTTAAAGATATTTGAGACTTCATCTTGAAGTTACAGTTCACAAAAAAAGAGGAAGTTTATCTATAGCAAAATGCAGGCTAAATTTGTGCTACACAAAAGCCAAACACTTAAAAAACGTATGATATTTAATATTTTATGTTTAATACTTTTAGTTCAAATCAACCCTGACAAACAGTTACATCTCATAAAGGGCAGCCTATTTATGGTCCGAGTCAAATGATCACGTCAGCACAGTTGCAGAAGGCATTTGCTTCTGTCAACTTCTGCCCGTCGTTCATCGAGAGAGGGAGAGAAAGGGGGGTGGGGGGTGTTAGCAAAAGAGAGGGAGAGAGAGAAAATGAGAAAAGGATAGACAGCAATGGGTGGGAGAGGGAGACCTAAAAGAGAAGCTCACACACTTACATAGACACATACACACCCTGGCCTAACTTTGCTCACCCATTCAAACCAGGGGCCGTTTTGGTTAAGCTTTGAAACGGACACAGGAAAGATTTCACTTACCCTCGATCCACGTTTTTCAGAATGTTAGGCAACAGGGGAGAGGAAAAGGTTCCTGGTATTCCCAAAGTAACCCGGCGGACTCCCCTCTTCCAGTGTAGTCTGTCTCCTGCACCTGGGTAGGGGGGGAAAAAACAGTAATTCCCCAACTTAATTCAATGAAGTTGTTTTTGTATTCAAAAAAGCCAAGCAAAGTACTTGAAAAAGACTTTTTCATTCTTTCAGAAAACTCGGTTAAACTCACAAAGTAGTTCGCCCACTGCAAATATGTTAATTTTACACAAATCTACAGCTAAATCTACAATTAAAACACTTTGGCTGCTTTCAAAAAAATTGTAGAAACAGAATTAAAAAGTAAAACAAACCCACAAATGCACTTATCAATGGGAATCCCAAGTCTTAATTTCAGGTCAAAAATACACCCATTCGTCTGAGCTTGGGGCTCCCATTCCAGATTGGGGGGTGGGGTTCCAAGAGTCAAATAAGTGCCTAAACCTTTTGTCCACCAGCACCTATTTTCAGCCCTTAAACCCCTTTCTCTCCCTATTCACCTTCAGACCAGCAGTCCAGTGCAGTGTGCAGCCTCTGCTTAGCTGTAGCTAGTGAGGCTGCCTGAGGAACTTGGTAGGCATAAAAAGCAGGGGTTGTAGCCTTTTTCCCGGGGCATCAGTTTCTACAATTAAAATGAACATTTTCGGGGGACAGGAAAAATCTCCAAAAAAATCAGGGCATCGCCCAGGGGTCCCCTTAAAAGAGTGTGAAGTTTGAGGACAGTCGGCGCTACCGTTTCAGAGGAAAAAATTAATTTCTAGGGCTTAGTGTCTGGGGCGCGTCAGTGCTAGCAGCTCTCGCTTGCTTGATTTCTTGTAGCCTTGCCAAAGCATTCATACAGCCAACGGAGAGAAAGAGAGGGAGGAGGGGGGAACAAAAGAAGGAGAAGGCTCGGCTGCAAAGATGCACAGAAAGGGGGATATGAAACTAGGAAAAGTGTTATGTGTTTGTGGTGTTTTTTGCGTTACACTGCGGGAAAGCTTTCACCACAAACTCCAAACACAATCGACCACACAGGGGGGGGTTTTCAAGTCCAAACGCATTGTTCAAAAAGAAAAAACAACAACAAAATGATTTTATATTCTCGCCATTAGTTCATTATCAATTGAAAAAAACAAAAAAAAACAAAGAAGGAACAGCAAAAACAGATGTCAAGAGTTTGGAGAGCTAAAAAAAAAATCAAAGTTTTCATACTTTTATACTCTTGGTGCGACCGGATTTTAAGCAGGGTCTCTGTGGGTTTTCTGTGTAGTACAAGGCTAGCTACAAAGATTGGAGAATATGTTGATCTGGTTCTACAGATAGTTTTACTGAGTAGCACAACCATGGTCCAACAGTACACACAAACCACACACACACACACACACACACAGAGCCAGACAAGACAAAGGCCTCTGTGATTATTATAATTATACAAATAAAATCGATTTAAAAGGGAAATCAATGTCCAGCCATCAATACATTTTCAGATTATTATTTTGTTATGGAATGTTCAATTAAAATATAATCTTACATTTCATAAGTTGTCTGAAAACCATATTAGCTTCACAATAATTTACTAATAATACACAGCTATAGCTAAATAGCATATTTTAATAAAATCACTGTTATTATAAAACTGAAACAGCACATTTATATTGTACTCTTGTGAATATAATGTTTGTCCCAAAAGTATACAGTCCCTTGTCTTTTACTTTTAAATCCTACAAGTACCATCTCTTACAATCAAAAAACAAAAGCACTAAGCTTCAGGAACCACACACCAAAACAGGAAGACTAAAAATACCCCAACAAAAAACGTAAAAGGCAAGAACTAAAGCTTTTTTGTGTGACATCTGCCAGTAAAGACTTGATTGAATTAAACAATAAGAACAAATTCCTAGCCATTCACAATACTACCAAAAACTTATTACAGCCTTGAAAATTAGAAATATAGTATAAATAATGACAATATGTGGTTAATGAGCATGTTGATCTTTTTTTTCTTTTTCTTTTTTTTACTGAAAAATCTAAACTACACATGCCATGCCCAGCCTCTCCCTTATATTACTTTCAGCAGATGTGTAGCAAAATCAAGAAATATTGTTAAATATGACATCCAGGAACAGGTGCAGAGCTTTCATGGCATACCCAAGACCACATCTTCACTCTATGCAATTTATTCATTTGTTCAAAAAAGCTCAGGCAATGGCAAAACAGTACACGCACACTGCATACTTGTAGATATTCTAAAATATTCAATATGACAAGAATCACTGATCAAATCTTCTACAGCTAATTTTTTTTAAAAAGATTGTTCTTGAAGAAAATCTTATGAGCCCAACAAAAAAGAAAAAGAAAAGGCAACAAGGAAACCACTGGAATTAATACATTAACTATAAAGCAAACCCCATGCCAAAACTAAGAAAAAGCAACGTGTACTTTCATCACAAGTTTACAGGGTCATTGTAAAGACCACAACATTCCTTTTGACAATAACGTCAACACTTTATGACAATTTTTAAAACAGCAAAGCAAAGTCACACATCATTCTATAATATTAGTCATACATCTGTAATTTTAATAGCAAATTAATTGGTCTGACACTGACTGTAATTTGACCTTTTTTTTTTTATAAACAAAACAAAACATACTCTTAATACATATAAATACTAAAGCACGACAATAGGTTGCGATATTACAATATTATCTGGAATATTAATCTGCCAGGCATACCTACGAAAAACGCTATACAATGATCAGTTATTATTAAACTAAAGCGATGTAAAATGGGAGCATGTTTCAAAACTGCCAATTAGTCGAGTATCGAGAAAATATGGATACTGTGATGCAAGTAATAAATTGGTTTAAAACGTGCATACTTGGAAGCTTGAACTTTTGATTCATCGCCAAATAATTCTGCCGTGGTCTTGAATGTCACATCAAAGCGCGTCTTCAACTAACGTTACATTCGAAAAAATTCGTCGTTATTTTTTTTACCGCTTCCACAGAGTTCTACGTTTCGTCACGCTGTCACCTTAGATGTCATTTGAATTTTGACGAACCAACGTTCTGAATCAAATTCAAATGTAATTTAGCTGTCATTTTGATGTTAGACGACATGTTTTCATTCCTGTCTACACTGTTTAGATTGACGAAATCGCTGTGAATGGATCTAATGACCAAATCTCTTATTAGATGGAGCGAATTAAAAGAGGGGAAAGTAGTGCTTGAAGCTTGGTTGTGGGTGAGGGGACAGATACAGAGGGGAGTGGTTCAGAGTATTAGACGCACCGAGAAATCATTGTCTTTAAAAGCTAACATATGCCAAAACTAGAAGACCACTTTATTCGGTTTGCTTTATGGTGTTAATATAGCCAAAGCATCGTTTAGGTTGTAATAAGTTGTTTGGACGTTATCCCGCGGGTTCCAACACGTTTTGGAGGTAGTCTGTTTAATTATACTAAGAAATAATGTTTGTTTTTGTTTTTGTTCAACACAAAAGAAATAAGTGCCGAAACAGCTTGCACTAAACAACAAATTTAGTTAGCAACGTCTTTCTATAACGCATACGTAACGTTAATTTTCTGAAAGTACTATTAGTTTGTAGCTACATGTTCGTTACTTCTTTTCTTTTTTTTCAATAAGTTAATAATAAATGGTAAACGGGACCGATTTCACAAAGCTTGCAAAAAAGTATGTCGATAACACAAAAGTAATAATTATATAAACAAAAAAGGAATAATTACATACCTTTTATGAAAATCCTCTTCCAGTTTCCAATATTTGAAAAAGGTTGTTAACGTAATAAACAGTCTTGAGAAGAAAAAAAAAATGTATAATGAGGAATAATGTAGCTGTTAGAAGTGTTCCAGTCACTGATGCTCTGAAGTTTGAAAATGGCGCCAATGTTCCACTGCAGCAGCTCTACCACTGTGATGACACGGGACAGATAAAAAAATAAATATAAATTTTCCTCAGTGAAAAATATTTTTTTCCACAAACGGATCTGTTGCACTTTGGCTAAAATAAGCTATTCTAGTTATCTCTTGTTGAATTGTTTGCTTCTATAATTTATAATTATTTTTTGATAATTTTTGATAACCGTCAGATCATGCCTTAGCCGCGGTGCAGGTCGGGAAGTGCCCTTGCTGGTTTTCTTTTAAATTTCCAAACTACAGTCCTGAATGCCCGCCATGTCGCCCCCTGTTGTATTATCTGTGTATTTTCTGAGCTTGCACCCTACAGTCGACGTCAAAAGCTTTGTTTTTTGCGCTATGACTCCAACCAATTTTTTTTTTTTTTTTTTTTTTTTTTTGTATGTTACCTTTTCTGCAATAAAAAATAACTTTACAAAGTATTTACATGAAATTTAGATATCCGCTTGTATCTTTTATGTTTATATTTCTACCTCCCATGGCACCTGTTATTTATTAATTTGTATTGTAGTTTTTTTTTTTTCTCTTTCCTTGATTAATGTTTAATAATAATATTCTTTAAAAACAAATCTTGAACACAAACAAAAAAAAGACCAACTCCAGAGTTAACTGTTGAAGTTTTACTGAATTTGACAAACGTAGCAACATATTCTCACAAGAGTACACAACTGATATATATATACCTAATATCCAGGGCAGAGACAGAAACTTTTGGCAAAAATCCAACAGATAGCAGGGGCTAAAGAATAAACACATTTAAATAAATTGTGTATGTGTGTGTGTGTGTGTGTGTGTTGATTTCTATTTATTTATCTATGCCTAGTTATGAGTTTAGTATGCATTTGACATAGACATCAAGCTGTCTTTTATATGGTTAAAAAATAATATTGCTTGCAGCTTATTAAAAAACAATTATGTCACTGGTCCAGGGTGAGTCTCCTTGCAACATGTCTGCTCTTAATGCAATAATAAATATCGGATAAATGAATTATGACTACATCAAAAATCACAAAACAATCTCTTAAAACATCTAGATACTCAACATACATTATCTGTGCATCAGCACTACCATGAGTAATGACTGTATCATACAGTATCATTTACTGCAAAAAGCAAATTATAGTCTGTACTGAGATCTTCACAGAGGAACAGAAAGAGCTACATTTATTGCTGCAATACTGACAAGGTATTTCATCAATAACATGCATTCTTCCACTAATACCATATATAAATGTTTACATTTAGACAGGCTATCCTTTAGTTCAGAAAATCTTGCAACAGGACAGTTGATCATTAACCAATGTAATACCAAGCCGTAATAACAAGTCTCTGAGGCTGAGGTCTTCCGTGGATCGACGGAAGGACAAAGGGTAGTTTACTTGTTCCTTATACTTATGTACTCGTGTTCAGCGTACTTAGAAAGTACACAAAGCGAGGTTCCTGGTACAATACAACTGTATGAAAAAGGGAGTAAGGGACACTTTTTGACCACTATGGCAAAACTGAAGGTCTGTTTAAATGATGTAAATATAACTTGTGAACAAGATGCCTAAACCGTCACCCTTAAGAAGTTTATTCTACAACAAATTAAGATTAAATAGTCACAGAAGGACAAACAAATCTGGAACAGTGCTTAATGGTGCATAGCATCTTTAAAAGAGCTCATAATTAGATTTTCATTTAAACAAGTTCAGAACATTTATTAGAACAGTTTAATTATTCACAACAAGATATATTAATCTATGACAGCCCTAAACATAGTTCATGCACAAAATATGTCTAATCTGAGGTGTGCCAACAACTGCAAAAAATAAGATAAACAATAAATGAGTGTATTATTCTATATATGCTTTTGCAATTTATATACACTAAATCAATAGTAAACCTAATCAACATTTTTTCAATAACGAATTAACCCTCCAAACAATCAACAAGAAAAACAATCTGTTAGGGGTCTTGAAAAGACAAAACAACCACAAGATCCTCCACGTTTTATGTGAATACACAGGATTATACAAATACATTGAATATAACAAAACATTACAGTTAATTTCAAATGAATCCCATTTGAAGGCAGTTCCACCAGGCTCACTTGTTAGTGTCCTGCACTGTTATTCCTTAAGGTAGACCTCTGAATATTTTGTTTTCAGCAGTTGGCCCATTGTCCTTATGGTTCCGTGTCTCCTCAGCTTCATTCTCCTCTTCCTCTCCTTTCCCCAGCATTCTCAGTGGCCATAGCAGACCATGCTGGGCATGTTTAGGTTTTTGACAGCAGGGCCCATTTTTCTCTTTGGTAAGGAAATAAAGCAGTGCATTCAGCCAGGCGTTGAATGAGGCCAGAGGCCGGGTGATTTTATAACAGATGGAAACCATGCGCATGGTGTGGCACTGCACCTTACTTGTCACTTTCAGAAGCAGGAAAATGGTGCGAGTGACATGGAAGGGAAAGAAGCAAAGGGCAAAGAGCAGAGTGATGGTAATTATGGTCTTGATGGACTTGCGACGCCTGTTCACGTAAGGCGAATGAGCACCCAAGATGATTGACATGCCCTCTCCCCCTATCCCTGCGACGCTTTCACAGCCTGTTCCACTTCTGACTCTTTGAGGAGGAGGTTGAGAGTGCAGCGTCCGAAATATAGTCAACACCACACGTGAGTAGCACCAGGCAATGATGCTAAATGGTGCAAAAAAACCCAAGAAATGAAGCGTGACCCCGTAAGGGATGTAATCATGGAACTCTCTATCAATGGCATCATCCCAGCAATTATTGAACATCTCCTCCCTCGTGCCCTTACCTTCACGTGGAAGATACTGCGTCTGTGCAAAACGAAAAATTGGGCATGTTAGTGCAAAAACAGCAATCCACACCAAAACGCAAGTCCCCTTCACGGCTCGTTTGGTCTCCAAGGTGATGGTCTTCATGGGGTGACAGATGCCCAGGTAGCGGTGCACTGAGATACAAGTGAGAAAGAAGATGCTGCAGTAGAGGTTGAAGTAAAAGAGGAAGCGCACTAGGCGGCACATGAAGTCTCCAAACACCCAGTCGTCCCGCATGACGTAACTAGCCACCAGAAAGGGCAGGGATAAACCATACATGAAGTCTGTCGTGGCCAGGTTCACCATGTAAATCAGGGACGCATTCCAGCGTCTGGTGCGTCGAAAGGAACGGTAGAGAACCACAAAGTTAAGGGTTATACTGAAGACAAAGGTAAAGGAGTAACAAATTGGCAGGAAGATGTACTTGTAGGACTCGTCAATATTGCAGGAGCCAGTAACTGAAGAATTAAGTGAGGAAGAAAGCTGGGCGTCTGCACCCTTCTCTGTTTCAAATAAAACAGTAGGCACTCTTGTCGTCATTGTCGGCTAGTTCTTAGGGAGCGTCCTTGTTTCATCCTCCCATTCTTTGCTTCTGAGACCACCTCTTTTCCAATAAGCAACTTTTTTGAATTTCCTGCGATCTCCTACTCCTTGTTTAGTTTAACATCTAAGAGAGATACATTGCTGTTAGAATACACAAAATGTAACCAATTGTCAAAACCTTTGCAGATGTCATCCCAAGCCTCCCACTTGCTCTTTCTAGCCCTCCCCGCATCCCCCTTACTCTTTCACAACCCCTGGTACTGTTTGCACATAGGTATATATGCTGCTGATTCAGGCCCTTTTCACTTCATTAACCCATCAAACAGTAACCACACTTCCCCTCTATGTCCTATTCTCTATCTTACCCGCCCCTCAGCCTGTCCCTCGCATCAGGACTCTCTACCCCATTCCTTTTAGCATTTGTCAAACTACCCCTAGACTCCCTCTGGATCCATTTGCACATTAAACAACTTTGGGATGCTATGTCATGGCTATCCCTACCTCCTGGTAAAGTTAGCACACAGCTGACTGAGCCCATGGTGAATTGCTTATCGCCTACCACTTCTCAGACATATAAGACACTATGTCAATAAATGAGTGAGTACCTGGAGGTCGCTAAATGGCAGGTAGTCTGCTTTGGCTGAATAAATAACAAGGTCCTTACTTGGGAAATAACACAACATCATAAACAGAGCAAACAACCCTAATTATAAATCACATTACCTATATATCGCAAGAGGTCACTGCCTGAACTTATTTAATGGCAAAAGACAAGAAGTAAAAAGAGTAAAAAGACAAGAAGATTTATAGGTTATATATATATATATATATATATATAGGTATTGTAAAACCATTGACATCACATGCAAGGACAACAACAAAACACCAGTTACATCTGGTTATGAGGTGAAAATGTTCACTTACCTATTTAATAGAACAATAAAGTCCTTTTTTAGATAAAAGAAAGAATCTTAGTATGAATAAAACACGAGGAGTACCTCTATTCCAACACTGAAAACAGTTAACAGCTAATTTGAATATCAAGCTAAATACAGAAGAGCAAAATCAAAGAACATTTGTTTGCATCATTGGCTCCGTATAGTCAATTCACCCTTGAATCTTTCCCTTTAACATCAGTTTCCCGAACTATTTTTACCATTCTCTCAATCCAACCCTCCTTGGTCATCTCTTGCTCCATGATCTGTCCCTCCCTCTTTCTTCTTTCCTCTATTAGTGCTGAGCTGGCCTTTTGACAATAGAAACTCTGGCTAGGCAAAATACACACACACAACAAAAGAGCAGTGATTTTTAAAAACAATACAATACACAAATCCAATCTTAATGAAATCCCTTTTATTCCACAAAATAATATTTAAGTATTTCACAAACAGTGACAACAACAATCCAGTTATGAGTTGCTTGGCAATGTATGTACGCACACATACTTTGTGGCATTTAATGAGCCATGTCTTAACATGTGAGGCTTGGCATAATTGGCTTTGCCACTAAACAAATTAGATTAATATTGAGCAAAGGAGCATGGCATGGCATTTAGTGTCTTTTGTTGAAAATGTTCAACAATGTTCAAAGATCTTTTCAAAGAAAATGTTCAAAGATCTTTTTGATCTATCAATTATGAGAATGTAAACGGCTATTTTAAATTCTCATTGGTGCCTTAAAAGTGTCATAAAAAAGCTGAAATGAAAAACTTAAAAAACCTTACAAGTATTTTGCAGTGATGATGGAGTGCTGTAGCTTTTCACAGTAAAGTCATTAGATCAGGCAGCTCTTGTAAACGAATGTCCGGTCATTTTGTTCCATTTTGTTGATTGTGCATCAGAGTGATGTCATATCTTGTACCTCCAGCAGCATGGCATCCTGCTCTGTTCTCAGCTTGTCCCTTGTGAGAAGTCGACCCACCAGCTCTGAACTGAGGTCTACACACACACACACACACACAGACCCACGCTTACTCATTTATTCACATCAGACTATTATATCATCACTGTAACATAATAGTTAATGCTTCAGTTTACCATGAATGTCTTTGCTTAGTGAGGTCCTCAATGCTTTCAACTCCTTCAAGCTGAAATTCTTCAAGTCATTTCGCTCATAGTGCTTCCTTTCTTTGACAGCCTCACTGGGAGGTATAGTCTGTGATGGGGGTCAGTGGAGTGCAATTATGCATATCTTCACTACCATTCAAAAGTTTGGGGTCGGTAAGATTTTTGAAAGAAGACTGTAATGCTCACCTAAGCTAGATTTATTTGATCAAAAATACATATTGTGACATATTATTTCAATTAAAAATAACTGTTTTTTATTTTCAGCATAATTACTCCAGACTTCAGTGTCACATGATCCTTCAGAAATCATTCTAATATGCTGAATTGGTGCTCAAGAAGAATTTATCATCATCATCAATGTTGAAAACAGTTAATATTTTTGGGGAAACTGTGATGCAGTTTTTAGGATACTTTGATGAATAGAAAGTTCAAAAGAACTGCATTTATTTGAGATATAATTTTTCTGTAACAGTGTAACAATGTAAAAGTCTTGACTGTAACTTTTGTTCAATTGAATGCATCCATGCTGAATATTAATTTCTTTACTTAATTTCTTACTGACCCCAAACTTTTAAATGCTAGTGTACAGAACATTCCATTCATACATTACATACGAAATACTACATACCTATTTTGATGAATGTGCTTTCTCAATTCAAATGCATAAAATGAAATGCGAAACACACATAAGAAGAATATGTGATCTGCTCTAACCTGTTTTTGCTCCAGTCTCAATTTGTGTCTAAGTACACTCAGTGCAGCTCTGACATCATTCTTAAACCCTCTTGATTTGGTTTTCTTAGTCGTTGCAGAGCTTGAACCACGCTCCTTCTCTAACCTCTGAATGCTGCCACTCTTACTGGACTGTTTTGCCACCTGAAAATATAACAAAGAGCACAAGCAGCATTTATTTTTCTCTTCATAAAACAGACATGAACAAAATTGTACAGTATGTCTCTATCCCTATCCTTCTGAGCGCTACACCCACTGAAGTTGTTCACACTGTTCACATTATGTTGCCACCCACACCCAGCAACAGTGGAAAAAAATGCAGTGTGGCAAACTGGCAATTTATTTCACCTCTTTCTTTGCCTCTATTTCCTCTTCTTCCTCCTCACTTTCACTGTTATTGATGAAGCACAGCTGTAGATTCATCTGGCTCTGGAGCCTAGAATAATAAAGCATAGTTTCTAAAGATTTTATTCAAATTCAGAAGTAGTTGAGATTCATTAAATCTTGGTGACCTTGATGTCAGAGAAGTCAGACGACTGTTGCAATCATCCTCCATGTCCTCATAGGATTCTCTGTGACTGCTCAGCCCTCTGATTTCTGGCCAGTCTACTGTCAGCTTGTCCAAGTCCTGTAGAAAAACATTTTAGTATAAATTCATCGTGGCTGTTACTGTAGATAAGTAGACAAGGGGTATTTATTTTTCATCTTTCACAATTGAATGCAGATGAATATCTTTACTTTCATTCAGACCTTTTCGCTCTGTCTCTGCTCTTCTTGTTGCTTCTCAAGTTCAGCAATACGAAGGCTCAGATCCTCCCAGTGCATGATGGGTAAGCCCAGGTCATCATCAGGGTATCCCTTTTGCCATAACAAGGCTGCCCCCTCTGCATCCTCCTCTGTCTCATCACTCTCTTTTTCATTTCCTCTCTCCCGCTCTTTTTCTTTTTCTCCATCCATTCCAAAGACCCCTAAGAGAATAAAAGGGGCACAAGGCCTCTGAAGATTAAGAAATCAATATATTTTAGGTTTAAAAATATTGTTATTTCTATAATTCTCAAAAGAGCAGCAAGGCAAACACACACCTTTTGAGGTGCAAGTTGAAGGAGAAAACTTAATGCCAAGAAAATATAACTTCACATTCTCTTAAGCACATTTTATTATTACCAACATTTCAGCAAAACAAGTAGCCTTTGTTAAGGTAAGGTACATACCATGACAAAGGCTACTTGTTTTGCCGAAACATTGGTAATACCACATGTTTATGGTGATACTATGAAAGAAGCTGCCTCTCATTGTTCTGTAAGAGAAACTGGCATCATCAGATAAAGACATTTATTTTATTTAACATTTAACAATTATTCATTAAAGCTAAGTATATGTTTATGTTCATAGTACTTTTTTAATTACTGGAATATAATGCAAAAGCGGCCATCTTTTAAAAATATATATTTATTCAATGAGACGCTAGTACTTAGTATAGGCTATACTAGCATTTATTCATTTGCATCTAGTCCCAATAATGACAATAAATTATTCAACTGTTAATTACTAGTTCTATATGGTTCGGTGGTTCATAGATCACTCCAGACTAGTATGTATTCACATTATTTCTGGTGCCTATTTCTTTTGTGTTTAGTATTTATTAAGTACTAGTATTTATTCTAGTAACTATTCAAATAGTTATACACCGTTTTCTTAGTTTTAATTAAACAGATAGTGTGTATTTCAGTTGTAGTATATTTTGTAACAAGTACATTTTACTAGCTAAAACGGCTTATCTAGCAACATTTGTGTTTTGTTTGTCTTTCAAAAAACATTATGGGCGTAACATTAAAAAAACAATTCCTTGAAACGTTACAACATCCAGAACATGCATGAGGAGCCATCTAACGTGTTTCCTCAGAAACTGCAATAAGTTATCTCAAAACATTATGTCTGAAACTGACTAGTTTGGAAATTGGTCATGTCATAAACAAGAAAATATTTCCATATTTTAAATAATACATTCCAATTATTTAAAAGTCTTGTAATCCTGGTGCTAACACTTTGGCCACGTATTGAACTGATGATGATGATGTATCCTAAAACTTTTATTGCTTTAGAGGTAACGTTATACTTACTTTTTAGCTAGAATGTGTTTGCAAATTCTGTCCAACAAGTCAAACCTCATACAAATTCCATAGTTTTCTTGGGGAAATTTCTTTATAACTTGTTTTCCTCTGAGCTGTCCCGTTACGCGCCCTCCTCGTCTTCGTTTATCCTTCACTCTTTTTCATCCATGAAGATGAATTTCTTTTTCTTTTTCGCTCCTTCGTAAACTTCGATATTTAGAGGCTATTTTATGTGGAGTTAACGTTTAAATCCGTTCAATCAATCCGACATTTTGTTCTTTAAACATCCTCAACGCAGACATCAAAAACTAAAGGAATTTGGCGACGTTTTGTTATGGGGAGAGAACGTGAAGGGAGGAGAATGAGCGAAGAGTAATAAAAGGAACCACTTCTTCAGGTGTCTAGTTTCAGTCAATTTACAAGTCGATAATCTTTAAAATCCTAGCATGAAGTCCTGAAGAAAAGCTACTGCTTGCACATGAATGTTTGTTTCCCATATTTATTTTTTTAAGACGAAAGAAAAAAACTTTGGGTTTGGGTGTCAAATGTCAACAAGTCTAAGCATGCTTAGTTTATGACAGCAAAATTATAAAGGCGAATTACTGTTTTTTTAATGGTGTTTACACATTTTATTTTATTTTTTAAAGCCTCGTTTGAGGACAAAACATTATTCAAATATCTTTAATTCAAGGGATAAAAATTAAATCCTCAGAATAATCAAAGGTTACTGGTGTTTTAATCATCCGTTTAACTGGATAAACAAAGAAAAGATTGACTGGAAGGGAGATGAATTGTTGCGAACAGACAGTTGAGGAGCTCGGCAATATTATTAACGAAGTGCTAAAAACTTTGTTTCAAACTCTTTATGACGTTGCACTCTGTTGTCACTCTACTTCCGCTTCCTCCAAAGTCAGCTGACTTATCTGGTGACTGTTGACATCGATCTTACCGAGACCAGAAAAAAACTTAACAGTAACTTCTAAAAGATCAAATGACGGTCGTATAACGTTTATTTTATTTGAAACGATCCTCTGGCATCTCTGGTAAACGAAACCTGACAAGCTTTTATTATTGAAATGGCTTCTTTGCTTTTCTGCGGTCCTAAACTGGCAGCATGTGGACTGGTCCTGAGTATTTGGGGTGTCATTATGCTGGTAAGTTCAATATTCTCTATTGTGTCTCTGTTCTTGTTTTTTTCATTCATTGTTTATAGATACTGAAAGGCCTTTAAAATACATTATTTGCCCATTTCTTAACGGTAGTAATGAGTAAATTGCCTTCACACTTAATTTCAATAACATGCAGTCAGAGTACCTATTGTCCTGGAAAAGGGAATTTTTAAAAGTTTGATTTCTAGGCCCTGGAAATTAATGCAAATGTCTTATCTATCTATCGATCTATCTATATCTAGAAAAAAAGAATTGTGTGTGTGTCCTATCATTATACATTATTTGTAGAAATCCTTATCCAAGTCATTACAAACTTTTGTAAAAGTCATGGAACAAAAATCATATCCTGAATATGATATGTCTGTGGTGGGATAAACACAGCCCACTTCATAATCAACAGTTTCTTTCTGATTTCTCTTAGGCAATGCTGGGGATTTTTTTCACCACACATTCAGCTGTGCTCATAGAGGATGTGCCTTTCACAGAGGAAGACATCCAAAACCTGTGAGTTCCTTTTGCCATTTACTCACCCTGGAAAATAAGTCTGTCTAGCATAGGGAATGTCACATATAATTGGAAGGCTTCATGTTAGTGGCTATGACTGGCTTCCTTCCCCTTTTCCTTCCCACAGGCAGAGGTGTCCAAATGTGTAGTCCAGTTTAGTCAAAATTTAGCCTATTTTCAAACCAACGATCTTTTCTCTCATTTCAGGGATACGCCACTGCAAAACATCTATAAACTGTACAACCAAGTTGGATATAATTGCTTCATTGCAGCAGTAATCTACGTTGGTTTAGGATTCCTATCATTTTGTCAGGTTCGCCTGAACAAGCGCAAGGAATATCTGGTGCATTAGTACCAGTTTAACTCTACCTCTAAATTCTCTAATGTTGCATTTGCCTTAAAATAAAGCTTAAATATGTGGGTATTTAAGATGGAATAAGATTATGTATTTTACTGTGCTTTTCTTTCTTGCCTTTCTATCTTGAAGCCTGTCATAAAAATACAGCATGAGTGTGATTGATCATTATGATTAGTACCTCACACATTTGCCTTTTGCTATTTTGATCTGTGGACCTACCAAATCATTCAAAGATATTGGTTATCTTCAAACGCTGTTGATAAATGATTTAATTGTGATTTTTATTTATACTTGCACACCTGTCAAATATACAATCTCATGAAGTAAATGTTGAATGAAATTTTACAATATTCACATTGGTTGTTTTCACAATAATTGACTCAAGATTTTGCCTAGATACAGTTTGTCACTATAGAAATTGGTAAGTGTAGACCTTGTCTCTGAGTATACATGGTTCTGAAATTACAAACCATCTTTTGAAGATGAGAACTTCATTTACAGTTTTACATGTGTAACTTCTAAATGTTTGATGCAGAAATTAAATGTTATTAAAACAATTCTATATGAAATAAATGGAAATGGAATTTGACTTTATTTGCAATGGAAATTATCTGTACAGGGCTTTTTTTCACATAGCTGTTAGGAAAAAGCATAGTAATAATAATTCATTTTTCATATAAAGTGCTGATGGAAAGATCAAGAATACAGTGAGTAAATATCCAGAGAAACCAGTACAGTACAATCCAAACAGTCCCTTTAAATATAAAGTTTAAATGCATTTATTTTTGTTTTAAAAAGTAAAAAAAAAAAAAAAGTAAAATGAATGGAAAAAAACTTTGCATCAATGCTTTAAAAAATGTTACAAACTAAATAAATGACATAATTATGACAGTATTTCTGCTGCAATAGATGCAATTCCCGAGACAGGCATTGCTCGCGGCTATATCTAGGAAAGGGACTTTGGTTGTTAATTCAAAGTGTGCTAATTTTAAGTTTTAGCTACTCAGGAAAATGTTCACTGATGTATATACACATACAATTCAAATGAGAGTTTTTCTAAATGGTGATGCTATTTTCCATGTGGCTTGGACACAGGTAAAGGTACTGCAGTTCTAGTCCCTCGTTCTGAGATATTATCTGCTCCTCCAGTTCCTTCAGCTCCTTTCTGAATTTGTCAATCACCTTCAAAGCAGCAGGCTCAGTAAAGTACTGTTCCACATACTGACCCATTGGGATCTGAAGGAAAGAGAAGAAACAGAGAGGTGTTACAGTGAGTCACTGTATTATACTTTAATGCTTCATGGGAAGAAATGTCTTTCAGATGCTTCAAGTTCAGTTAATCGAGGTCTTTCAGGATTACTAGAAAGTTACAGGCAGGATTGATCAAGGTTGGAGCAAGACTCGGCAGGAAAGTGGACCTTGAGGGCCAGAGTTGAGAACCCCTGGATTATAATGTACTTTATACAACCATAACTGATGTAAAAGCACACTTGTGACAGCCAGTGCTGTTGACCCACCGCATCTGGCTGTGCCCGACCCAAATGCCATGTGATGGCCATCTGCACGCAGGACTGGCTGATATCAGGGAGTGTGTCCATGATCAGGCCCATGGTGACAGCATCCTTATCTGTTGGTGGAGGGTGCCGCATGGTGCAAGGTGTATTGGGAACCCATGCACACCAATCAAACTACAGTACAGAGAGAAAGATCAACAGCGATCACAATCAAGCATACAAGTGATGCCTGTGAATTTAGACTTATTTCTGGCACCTAAAACAAGATTTTATCTTTGCTGTGTGGTTAGGGGCAGCTGCAACACTAGGATTTCTATGATAAAACTGAAAGAAACAAAATCTTAATCTATAATGGCAAATATTTCATTAAATGATCTACATTTAGACTGTTCTTAACTCATTGGTTGATCAATTTAATCTAGAAAAAACGAATATGGAAAATTGCCCCCCCATTCATCCCTAGTAACACACTCCCTGTAAATTATTGCGTTCCTGGTAACATCTATTCAATATAGTGTAGAAAACGTATGTCTGATGTCTTTAAAGTAAGTTTTTTAGATTTGATAAGATGTTAGAGATGTGTTTGTTACCTGTCCATTGTTGGTGGCAGCATGTTGGGCTGTGCTGGTAAAGATCACCACGCTTAACAGTGTGATCAGTTCTTCTTTTGTCTTCAGCTCACTGGCTAGGCCTGACATGGAAGAAACGACAGTGGTTACTCCTAACAGTCAATTTCAAGAGCCATTTATTTAGCTCATGGTGTTCATTTTGATATGACACATACTTTGAAACCAGGCTACAGCATCAGTTTATTTGAAATAGTTTATTTTGTATTTTAGCACATCCTGAGCATGTTTCTTTAGCTAATGACCACATGGGGGCACTGTATCTCTATTCTTTATGCTCTTTATTACTTCATTTTCCTGTTTTATGGTTTATACCTGGGCTACATCATGTGTATATATCATGTGTCATTTTTAAAATGCAATATTTGTGATGTGTGTATTGTATGGATGATTTACACTACCATTCTAAAGTTTTGGGCGGGTAAGATTTTATGCTCACTAAGGCGGCATTTATTTGATAAAAAAAAAATCTGTAAAAACAGCAGTATTGTGAAATATCTTTCCAACTTAACATAACTTTTCTATTTTAAAAAATGTTTAAAAATGTAATTTATTCCTGTGATGGCAAAGCTGAATTTTAAGCATCATTACTCCAGTCTTTAGTGTCACATGATCCTTCAGAAAGCATTATAATTTGGTGTGTTTAAATGTTTATCTTATTATTATCAATTAATATATTCTTAATATATTTGTGGAAACTGATCTTTTTTTTTCCAGTTTTCTTTAATGAAAAGAAATGTTTATTTTGAAACAGAAATCAAATGTGTCATTATAAATGTCTTCACTGTCACTTTTGATCAATCAATTGCATCCTTACTGAATAACAGTATTAATTATTTTTTAAAATAAATGGTACTGACCTCAAACATTTACATGGTAGTGTATATTGTCAAGCCTTAATAAATACACTGCACAGCGTTTATCATTTATCCACTACATGACATTTGTGAGTTCAGTGATGCAGTAATGTATTTATATCTTACCAAAACCAGGCACATCCACAAAGCCCTCCACAGCCACATCATTAATCCAGGCCTGAAGTTCTGAGTCCTGTTCCACCTCGCTATCACTCTTGTAGTACAAGGAAATGATTCCTGAAACAAAACTGAGAGAAAAAGAGCATATAAGGAAACGGGTCTGTTTGTACAGGAACTTTATTTATATATACACCGCTTCATTCATGTGTAAATGTCTGAAAAATGATTTCTATTATATAACCACATTCATAAGAATTAAAAGCACAGAATGAAGAATTCCTATTTGATTAAATTACTTTTGAATCGCACCCCACAGCATCAGAGAATGGTCCCTGTAGAAATAGTCTCTTAGCTTAGTAACCCCTCTGTCCAAGAAGTCGAATTTGGGCTGGAGGGAGCGATAGGTCAATACCTTATACTCCCTCTTTGCCAGAATCAAGAGTCCATCTCCACCTGTTGATACCACCTGAAAAACACAATTTTTGAACTGACTGAGTTATATACTACTGTTCATAAATTTGAGCTCAGACTTTTTTTTATTTAAAAAGTAGGCTAATACTTTTATTCAGCAAGGATGCTGATCAAAAGTGACAGTAAAGGCATTTATAATATCATTTAGTAGCAAAAAGCTATAAAGCTCAGGGGTATGTTGTATACAGACAGACCACTAAGTTGTGGTCATTAGAGTTAAAACCCCATTAGAGTGAAGATGATAAAAAGATAGAGAGCAAAAAAGGTGCATTTTTGTGGGCTTTATTGTTTGAGGATGCTCACCCTTTTGAAGATACCATCTGGGGAGATGAGCTGTGTTCTGCCACGACAGTTAATCTCAAGCGTATACCTCAAGTGTGGAGCCAAGAGCTGCAATGAGAGAAAAAACGACAGAAAGAGAGAGTGAAGAAGACCCGTAACATGCAGTACAACTGGACAGTTTAATGAATGACCAGTGATTAGCTAACTTTAAACATGCAAATGGATCTTTTCTAAAAAGCACTTTTTAGCACTTCCTCTAACCTTATAAATAGGGTGAACAGCAGGCAGCTGACGCAAGGTGGCCATACAGATCACTTCTATCACCAAGTGTGTGCGTAGCAGATGTGATAACACCTGAAAGATCTGGAATTCAGCATGACGAACCCACATCTTAGCCAATAACCAGGCCAGAGGTGGATCGCTAGGTAGGAATATGGGTGTGTCCTTATCAGGTTTCTGTTCAAGCTGAAAGAACAGGAACAATCAGTCATTGTCAGTCCGTTCCTGAATGTTACGGTCACAGATTGTCACCTTTCAATAGGCCTACTAATATGCATCATTTAGTACTAATGTTTTTCTTTAAAGTCCCCCTGTGGTGAAAATCAAGCTTTTAATGTTGTTTATATGTCTATATGGTGTTTTTAATGTGCTTTAAGACATTAAAGCACATTAAAGCACTCATTGCTGAGTATTTTCTTAAAACTGCAGTGAACCAAAGACAGTCTCAAATTAGCGGTTTGAAATCACGGGTGTTTCTGACGTCACAAACTACCTTGTAGTTGTAACCAATCACGTCAACGAGTGATCGTCAACGAGTGGATCTCTGAGCTGGTGCGAGTGGAGGCGGGTCCAATTTGCATATTAATAGAACTGCATATACTTAATGAGGCAATGGTGTAGCTTTTTTAAGGCATGATCAAATATGTGTTTTAAGGGATACAATTATTGACAGGGGGACTTTAAGGAACTAATATGCACCCTTTAGGGGTAAACAAGGTACAAAGGTGTACCTTTTGAAAGAGTACTGCCCCAGTAACAGCTTTTGTAACTTTTTTTTGAGAGTGTACTATGATTTTTACATTAATAACAGCAGTTAAGATTGTGGCACATAAAACTGTTTTGCCATTTAAATTTGTGTCTGTAATTCAAAGGCATTTCTATAAAATGTCTCTTCCATTCAGTAAAAGCACAAGAATATGTGAACATGAAGATGGGTTTGGCTGATAAGGAGTAAGATTGAGAAACTCTGCTCTATATTCATCACATATTATTATTATTATGCCAAGTACAGTTAATGTGTGTCAACTGGTTTTACCTGTATGGCAATGGGAATGAGACCTTTCTCGGGGTGTTCATACAGTAAGCAAAGCGGGGCAGCTATGTGCTGTGTCTTGTCTCTGATTACATTGGCAGGAATCCCATCCATAATCGCATAGTCAACCAGGAATATATTTCCTTTCTTCAAAAGGAGAGACAATGAAACATTCTTCGATTCACTGTTCCAATAATCCATTGTATTCAAGAAAATAAACACTAACTCTCACCTTGAGTTCCTCCTTCAAAGTGGTTGTAGGTATCAGAGAGGACTGTACCATGTCTCCAGTGACAAGGAAGTTCGAGGGCACCTCTTTGCACCTGGCAATCATCCGTGGGTTTGAGCCGTTCAGGAATTGGTAACCAAAAAACCAGTCTTCTCTCCAGTGCTTCATGGTGTATTCTAAACAGCATATTCATCACAAATTCATGTTATTCATTTAATAATGTTGCGCCAATACAGCTATCGACAGACTTGATAACGGGTTAAATCTTTCTGTGGAAATGTCCACTCCACTCTGGTTCTTACATATGCTGCATTGTAAAAAAAAAAAGATACAAATTACAGTTTTTTCTTTACTCCAGATAACGTGTTGACATTCTCATTTTTCTCATCAGCGCGTGAAATTATGAGACTGTACAGAAGCTCACAAGTAGGCCTATTTTATGAGGTAAGTGCGGTTTAGTTTATTATTGATTTTCTTTTGATACACCGAATAGAATGTTTATATAGCACCTAATTTTTTCACAATTTATACCTTCAGCACTGAAATTCATCGTTAGAAGCATTGTGAGCTTTCATAACCCAGAGTTAAAAATGTGTGAAACATCCCAAAACTCAGGGCTGTAAGAGGATTTTATCCAGGGTTTAACTAGACCATAACCTAGGGTTAAGTGCAGACTGTTAACATTTAGACTGTGGAATTTTCACATGCCATTGTGAAATGCCATTAATGTGTGATTGGTCTATGACAGGTTACATAAACATGTTACAAAATACATTTTTCTGGGAAGAGAGAATTGAGAGATTTCATGAAATGCAAATGTTATGGTAACTAACTTAACTCTTTCCCCGCCAGCCTTTTTTTAAAATAAAATGCCAGCCAGCGGCAGCATTTTTGAATATTTTCACAAAACTTTCATGGCCTCCGGAATATTTTGTTTGAATATCTTAACATGCAATAATAGCAAAAGAAAGAACAGAGCCATCAGCTTTTAATCCTAAAAACCTGTTTGTTCTAGCTTAATGCATTCCTTATTTATCAACACTTGAATGTGGGTAAGTTTCATAAAAAAGCAAACTTTTAAGCAGCAAAAAGATTTTTGTCAGACTATATCCGGATCAGATTCAGAAGGATGATCAAAACATTAACAACCCCAAAGCTTGCACATTCTTATAGCTCGTCCTGGCTTGACATTTCATTCAGTAACATTATGGTTTGATTTATACAGTAACGTTATGCCGTTTAATATTGATGATCGCATTATTTTACATACGGTATGCATTTGCTTACATATGGGCTGCAACCGAAAACGTACGAAAATTGTTGTTACCGGCTATAGGGCTTCTTAGCTTCCAGAAGATCCTTTTGAAATCGTCCAGGTCATTCCACGACTTCCCGAACTTGATTGCCAGTTTTTTCAGAGAGAGCTCCAAAAGCCTGACAGGCAGAAGGGATGGAGGAAAAAATGGTTAGATAAACCAGTGGTTTATCTAATACAATGATGTGCAGACAGAGGAACACACATGATTACGCACCTTAAAATATCAGGTCACTTTAATAAAGCATAATACTTGAGCAAAACCTGCAGTGCATCTTTACTCACGCATAGTGAAGGGATCCCACAAAGTCACTGCGCTTCTCATTGTCGAAGCGAACGTCCTGGGGGAGATCGGCCTCTGACTTGGCATCAATGCATTTTGGAATGCCGGGGGCCCATGCAAGCCATCTAATAGGTGAGACATGGAGTTTAACAGTGATTTGTGAGGACTAGCCTACCGTAATTCCTCAAATAAAGGCCGGGGCCTTTATTTACCTGAACTGCAGAGATGGTAGCCGGCTTTTATTTGAAGCAGGCTTTTATTAGAGGCAGGCCTTTATTTCTAATTCGCGATCCCCGCCCGCCCGCCAGCCAAGTTTCCATGGTGACGCGACATGCTTGGCACGTGTTCACCACAGCCAAAATAGCGCTGTATGACAGATGTAGCGCTTTTATTTCTAAAAAATTAACAAACTTGCTTACCATGTCATCAACTATCTTCTATTCTGACTCTCAAATCCGTGTAAGTGAGTTTGTTTTGTCGTTTAAAACCCTTTATAAATGATCTTGATCTGTAACGTGAGATGGGCACCGCAGTTCGGAGATTCCTGTTGTATTTGTTAAGTTACAGCGCGTGAATTCTTCAGTTTCTCCCGAAATACATGAAAGTAAGTGGCCGGTGAACTGGGAGAAGAATAGAGTAAACTTTATAGTTACTTACACTGTGTATCTGATATGAATAAAACACGTCGCCAAATATATTTGAATGGATTGTTATTGCTGCTTCCATAGACACCATTGTGTATTTTACAAACTATAAATTTATTGTTTTGCTATAAATCATATCTATTTAAATGTCTGAAACCTAAAATAAACATGTGGTTAAAAAAACTGAATAGTTGTGATATATGACAAGCGCTGAGCGCGTCCGTCTTTGAGTGTACACTCATTTAAAGTGTAAGTTACCTATTCACACTATTTTTTCCCCGGCCTTAATTTGAGACCGGCCTTTATTTGTCCGCGTTGACCACGCCCCCGGCCACTATCAGAGGCCCGGCGTTTATTTGAATACCGGTCTTTATTTGAGGAATTACGGTACATTCTTTACAAAGATAGGAATGCTGTGATAAGTAAAGTGTATGCAATTTCCCAAGGGACCTGTATAGTTTCTGCCTCTCCTGAAGCTCTGTCTTTCTGTGAGCTATCTCCAGTGGCAAGGTGTCATCACTCAGCTTTTTGGCTATGTAAGGAGGAAGCAGATTTAAGCTTTTAATCACCGGGTTTCATCTTGTTAGATCGATCTTAGTTGTTGCTGCATGAGCAGCTGACACTATAACTGACCTGTGCCTTCTCTGAGCTCTACTACCACTCCATCTCCCACTAGCCAGCGGTAACAAGGAAAAGTATAGCTGCATCTTTCTCCAGGTATACTGACTTTCACATATCGGCAGAACCAGTTATCCTCCACCCAGTACTTCTGCTTTTCCAGTCGCACCAGTATCAGGGGACCCAAATCAGCTGCGCTGCTAACCGTGTAATCATCCTCCTACAAAATGATGGAAATAGAGGTCTTTTCATTTATTATTGCCGTCAATATTGTATATTTAATTGTGATGCTCATTTCACATTTGTACATTTATTATACCTTTGCCATCATCAGTTTTGGGGGTAACGCATTACAAGTTAAGAGTTATGTAATCAGATTACTTTTTTCAAGTAACTAGTGAAGTTAGTAAGCATTAATTTTAAATTTGCAACAAAATATCTATTCAAATAAGTAATGCAAGTTACTTTGTTTTCCCATGAATTAACTGACACCTCTTCTGTCTTCATGTTGAGAGAAATCGAGAGTAAGGGCAGAGGCGTTGTGTGCGCTGTGTAAATATGATACTTATCGTAGTTCTAGACTAAATGTGAGCATGCATTTACTCATCTCACTTGCACAAAAACAGATCGAGTATTTCTCAAAATCAATAAAAACAGTGAAATGCAAACTCATAAAAAAAGTACGCAAACCTGCAATAATTAAATGTTAAATTACAAAAATATACTATGTATTTAGTCTCACTTTATTAACCAATGTTTTTGCTTCTGACCTTTGATGATCCGATTCAGCCATTCTAATAAACAAAAATGACTCGTCACATAAGTGCTAAACATCACATTTGTGTTTAATTTTTTTCTATTGCTGAAGTAAGAGTGTTAAATTTCCTTTTCTGCATCATATTCTTCTGAAATCCAGAACGGCAGCAGAGCAGACACAGTTTGAGCTGTGTCCTCTACTGTACAGGCGAGAATTTGCATTTCCTTCAGCCTGAGGCTTTCACTTTTGGTGTTTAAGGGCCTTCACATTTGCCAAAAATATATATATAAAAAAAATTGTTATTAAAAAAAACAAACAAGCAAGCCCAGCTCAGGTGAGAAAAAGTAACCTAAAAGTAATGTAACATTACTTTCCATAAAAAGTAAGTTACGTAATTAGTTACTTTTTTAGGGAGTAAAGCAATATTGTCATGCATTACTTTTAAAAGTATTTTTTCTCAACACATGGCCATCATTAAATGCTCACTTAAATTTCATCTTTAAAAACACTAATTCAATAACACAGTTAAATGTGATCTTTATCAAATCTCAGAATGATTATCTATTTTTCATAATGTGCATTATAATGTTGTGATGTAGCAGTACACTTGATGCATTTAAAATGATTCATTTTTAGCTTTAAGTGTTTCATTTTTTCATATAGACAAAATAGTATGACTAAATAGTATGAATTGCATGAAAATAATTATCGGCTTATCGTTATCGGTCAGAATTTTAACATTGGTATGTCCCTATTTTTTAGAGACTAAGAGATAAGATCTACATTTTTGGAAAGTGTGATGTGATATTTTGAATAAATTATTCATTATATTTCATTGGCATTGTTCATAAATGTGATGTCAAATCAACAAAAGATCTCTACTGCACTATACAGAGGGAAATTGAAGAAATATTATATTTAAGACATTTAGGCCTAGTTTCACAGACAGGGCTTAGATTAAGCCAGGATTAGGATTTGGTTCAATTAGGACATTTAAGTAGATTTTTTACATATTTCCTTAGAAAAAAACATTACTGGTGTGTGTGCTTTTTGAGACAAAACAATAGCATTGACATATTTTAAGATAAATCAGTGCAAGTTGCTTTGAGTTAAAACAGCTCAAACATGCATTTTAGTCTGGGACTTGGCTTAAGCCTGGTCTGTGAAACCGGGGGTTAAGTGCTTAATACATTGAAGTGCTTCTCAGAAGCACACAAACATATTCACTGCATTTACCGCTCCTCTACAGAAGTCTAGGCCTGGATTGTCCAGCACGGTTCTCTCACTCTCTCCTCTCTCTCCAACCAGAGTTATGTACACATAGTTATTGGTTCCTGAATATTCCGAGGTCCCGGTGGCCACGGTAACTTTGTACTCCATCTCTGCACACATACACATTCAATCATGTTGAACAAACTGTAAGATATTTTTACTGTTTCAGCCAGACACAGAGCCGTCTCAGAAGCCTAATTCGTTTTTCAGTTACAGGAACTATTCAACAGAGAGCTATAGCAGATGTTAGTCTTTTCCCTCAAAGGATTTGCGCAATCCATTTATGCCTGCACCGGACGATTACAAAAGCGAGCGAGGTATTGTGGAAGTGAAAGTCGTCCTCTGAATGACAGAGGAATGTCTTGCAGCAGAATGATCTCCCCTGCGCTATAGCACCTTGTGAAAATAGAAAATCTGATTCATTTTCATTTAAACATGAAACCAAATATGTGTAGGGGCGGGCTTTTAATAAAATGAAAAACTAATTAAAAAATTAAACTCTTTAAACATTATCACTCAGAAAAGATTCAAGTGCAGGCAAACACTTTAGTGTAATTTGATCTTGTGAGCTTCCACTGTTTTGTGACAATACAAATACAACACAACACAATTCAAACTAAAGGAGTGCATTGTGTTTTTGGTATTTGCAATGGAGAAATTGTAATAATGACTGTAATAGACAAACTGATGGTAACACTAGTTAATGCATTACATATCCTGCACTATGGAAAACATGTTTTACAGCATTAGTTAATCTAGGTAAATGCATTTGTTCATTGTTAATTCATGTTTGTTCATAATGCATTAACTAATGTTTATTTAAAACAACCAGAACTTTACATGAACATGAAACTAATTGAACAATAGTTTTAGGGTTTATTATTTCATGTCAGCTATTGCATTTACTTATGTTAACATATAAAACCGTATTACAAAGTGTTTCATTTATTAGTTGTTGCTGTTGTAGTGCCTTATTTCCTGAATGAGGATCTGTCAAATCAATCAAGCTTGGTAATCTTTAACCTTCATCCGCCCAGCTAGAAACTTTAGGTTTTATTTATAGCTTGTCCATCCATTGCGCCTGCCAATAAAACTCTGATGTGCCGTTGTACTCTGTTAGTACAGGCCCACAAAAATGTGTTTCGCCTGTCTGACACAGACATAATTGTCATGGCCATCAGAGATGATGTTGTGAAGGACATACTAGTTATGTCAATTGACCGTGGTTCATAGAGCTCTAAACATTGAACCAACCTGCGGAGAAATACTTCTGGGTTTAACTTAAATCGACAGAGGACATTAGAAACCCAAAGATGAATCTGCTTAACCCCCCTGGTGCTCTTTGGTCACTTTTGACTGAAAAATTATGCCTTTTTAATTTGTTTTACTTCACCTGAATGACATTACACTTGGTGACTTTTGTGACATTTGCTATGTGAACACACACAATAAATCTTGGATATGATTTGAAAAGGTCACACTTGTACTCCTCACGGTCAAATGTCCACCATAGAAATTAATTAGAAAACAAATGTATTATAATTATTGCTTAGTAGTACCATAAAATTCCCTCAAAATATAAAATAATATTGAACAAAAATATATTAGTCCACTTTTGACCGGGAGGAGTATGAGTGTGACCCCTAAATGAAAAGCACCAGGAATTTACAGATTAAATTGACAAAGAAATCTGTAGAAAAATTGGGCAAAAAATTATTACCTTTCCTCTGTAAAATGGTGTGGCTCCTTCCCTACTGCAGGTTCTCTTGCCTCTTTTCTTTAGTGTCCTTTCTTTCTCAACCAACTAGTTTCCTTCTTTCATGTCACCCTTTTGCAAACCCCGTTGTACACAGCAACTGCCTGCTCGCTGACCCTGAAGTTTCACTGACTGGATCAGGCAGATATTAGCTTTGTAATGTCCTGTCTGCACTGGTCTCCTCCCTCATACCTTCTTTCCCTCCCTTCCCCCTCTCCCACCACTTGCTTTCCGTCATAGTCCTCTGTAGGCTGATAGTTTAACCACCTCATTTGTTTATTCATTTTTCTTTGCATTCCATTTCAAGGAAGTGGGTTGTGCTAGCTCACAGAAAATACCACAAGGCTCAAAATAAGAATATTTTTGCACTGAACTTGTGAAACCACATTGAAGCCAATAATAAACTTTCACATGAACCGTACACTCTCATCAAGTCCAATCACAGTTCAGCCAGACCTCTAAAAACTCTGCATTCAAGGTCACTGATACAGTTTGTTTCGTTTACTTGTAAAAAATGGCTTTCTGTGTGGAATTACAAGCAAAACTTTACCTTTTTAACAGGCCACTGGTAAATACCAAATGACCAACAAGTTTCACTTATTATTCAGTGGTCTTTTTTTGTTACATAATCAGCTCTCTGTCTTGATCCAGAATATCTATTAATAGGGGTTTTTTTTAAAAAGGTTTTAGTTTTTTTTATTTATAAACATGACTTATTGGATGAAAATGACATGCTAACTTATAAACAACATTTATAATCAATAGATACAGAGTGCAAAATATGTTTCAAAAGTATGCAAAACATATTTGGTTGAGGAAGCACATAACAGACAGTGGTGTGTAATGTAAACAAGTTCCTGTGTCTGCTAGCTGTCCTCTGGCATGTTAAATAAAGGGAAGGTGATGTACGCTACCGTTCAAATGTTTGGGGGTTGTTTTTTTGGAAAGAAATTATAACTTTGCTTCAGTGTAAGAAATTGTAGTCTGCCTTGACCCAGTCTTATCAACAGCAATCTTTTGAACAGTAGTGAACAGAGATAATTCTGAGAAATGTTGTGGTATCACATCAGCATCATGTCCCGTTAACAACATACAGGAAGCGCTGGACTTTATCTAATCACAGCATGCTTTCAAAAGATAACGCTAATGATCATTTAAACGGAACGCATTCATATATTGAAATAATACCAAAAATATTCAGACGTCAGGGATGAGCAAGATCAGAGTTCAGGAAAGATAATAAATGCATTTCTGTGGTCTTGTTTTGCATGCCATTTCTACAGGAGTTCCCCATTTAGTGGACATCTTACAGCAAAGAGCTTTTCTGTTAAAAGTGTCTTTGAGAACACTCAATATACTGCAAGTTCCCCATTACAACACATTAATTTCATTCAAACTGAGGTTATAAATTACTTCACCTAAAAACATACTGTCTACTTTCTACAGAATCCATGAAGAAAGTGTCATAACAGATTCACTTTATTGCATGATCGTGCTAAACAATGCCAAGTATGTGTTACATATACAAACGATATAAAAAAAAAAAAAAAAAAAAAAAGACACAAAAAATTAACCATAGTGTCCAACTGATAAAGGGACTTTTGAATACTTGAAACTACAGTATCATCATACTTGTATTAAGCTGCCAGAAAAATAAAAATACCAACAATGACCACCTAAAAGTCATCTCTCAGCTTATGAATAGTTTTTGCTGTGTTCAACAATTTACCAATGGTAATGGACTTTGAGCCTGAAAACCTAAAACTCTTTCAAAGAAACCAAGTTGGAGCTTTTCTAGTGCAACTACAACAGAGGTTGATGGGACATTATCAATCAGATGTGACTATGTGGGATCTTTCAGGACCTTACAATTCATTGCAATGCTCCTCTGATGTGAGAGAGTGAATGAGAAGCTTGGTCATGTTAGGGCTGTGATTGTGAGGCACTACGATCGTCATCATCTGGCGGGCAGTCAACAAAGTCTGCCAGCATGGAAGCCATTACCTCATCATCTTTCTGGAAAAGAGTTTGAGAAAGAGGAGAGAGTGAGCTCGAGGGAATGTACTGGAGAGAAAGGCTCAGAATAAGCAACAATTAGTGTCTGCACGTGTTTACATGCCATTACCATAATAAACAGAACAAGTCACAAGTAAACTACACACAAAAGATATAAACAGTACAAGTAACAAGTAAATTACACACAAGAGATATAAACAGTGCAAACAACAAGTAAACTACACACAAGCGATATTACTGCAAGACATACAAGGCACTCTCATTTGTTTTGGCTTCCTCAATTGTTAAAAAAAATCCAAACTGAGGACAGCAGCATACTCTCTACGCTAGTGTTGTCACGATACCAAAATTATGACTTCGATGCGATATCTGGCTAAAATATCTCGATATACCAATACCATAGCAAAAATGTTTTAAATAAAACAAATGTGAAACTAATTGAATATGACAGAATTTAAAATGTATTTAAAAAAAATAATGTAAAACTCACTTGACCGGCGTGTTTATGCCCTGATTTTTGACCATTCCCTTCCTATTATATATATAAAAAAAAAAAGTTATTACATGCAAGTGTGAACGTCCTTACAGAGATGTTTGCAACAAATCACATTGGCTAACCTTTCACAATTCTGAACCGTTTGGGATAGTGGTGGGTGATGTGACACCTTATTTCATGACATGAGTAATTCAATTTATTTTTTAAAGTAACACCAGGTAACTTTTCAACCTTCATAATATACTTCCAAGTCTCTTGTGATGGTACATCGACTTACAATAGGTTGAATGACACGTCTGCCATAGCCTGACGGGGTCTGTAGCGTTTTTAATCGTACTTTTAAACTTCGGGTTTCAGGGTAGTAACCGGCAAACAAAGAGAACTACAAAACTCGACTGCTTTACGGCTTATACGTCACTTCCACCACCACCTTAAAATCGGACGTGCGAGCCAAATGTTATAGTCAAGGCCGAAGCAGCACAGAAAAACAAGAAAGCAAAGGTTTTATCGGAGCAAAGCAAAAAGAGAAAAAGAGAAAGTGATCACGTTAAAGGCAGAACGAGGATTAACATTGGGCCAGTCTTTTCTCGCTGGCGTGAGCTGAAGGAGGAGGAGGGGTGCCCGACCGATGCGGACTTGGCAAAAAAAAAAAAAAAATTAAATGAAAGCCTATGTCTAAACGGCGTGCACAAGTTTGGTAGGGGCTAGCAAGTAAATGTATAAGATGTACAAAATCATATTTTAGGATACCTAACATGTCTGTGATATTTGTTTATTTGTCTTGCCTCAAGCTATAATGCAAATCGATTTGTAAAATTTGCAGATTCATTTATGGTAGTTTGATATTATAATTGACAATATATAGTTATTATCTACCACTCAAACATTGCATTGAAGTATCATATAGATTCAGTAAAACGGTAACCAATAGACTAGGCTACTATAATGACGCTGGCTTGTAAACGTGATCATTGCGATTATTTGTCGTTAGAAAAAAAAAATAAAACCCATGAAATTATATTCATATGACATGCTGAAATATATGCCACTGTACCTGGGATGAAGACATTTCACACGCGACGCAAGCAGAACACCTGCATGTGACCTCCTCCTACAGTGTTCAGGGCTATCATGGTTGTCTTGTCAACAATTGCACGTGCATGTAGGATGACAGACTTTACGACAGTAGTAGAGGTCTAGAGGACAATACTGTTTCCCAACTGTAGAGGGACCCCACCCGGAGAGCAAAAGTAACCTGGTGTTACTTTAAATGTAGTATTCAGATAGACTACAGTAGGCCTATATAACTATAGCATTCAAGTAAGAAATGAAATGTTTAACAATGCATAGTAGGCTTGCTACGGTAGTCGGTGTTACACGGTGTTCAGTTGCAACACCGGTTTCATCACTTGCCCACCGCGGCACCACAAAAAAAAAAAAAAAATATATATATATATATTTAACGCAATTACGCAGTATCCGTTTTTTTCTGTTACCCGTTGACTAGCGTTGTATGATCACGCTCTAATTAATGTGAATGCTTTTAAAGCCACCTTTCCACTGCACACGACAGCCGTTGGACCGGAAGTCATTCATTTCCAATGGAGAGCCGTACGGGAGCTGCGGGGAGTTCCGATCATATGCGTATGCGGAAAATTCATATCCGATTTGAGCTTTGGATCCGTTGAAATATCTGAACTTCTGCGGCTAGACCGTACGCGACCGGCCGACCGGATGTGATGTATTCTAATCAAAACTATGAGCGTGAGGCTAGAATTACCAATATTTCAACTCTTTAATGTTATTCTGTAAATGCTATTTCTGTAAAATGTCAGTTATTAATAATTATGGCAGAAAAAAAATATTTTATAATTATTAAATCAATATTTATATTGATTAGCTCTGTAAAATCTATTGTTTTTATTGTAGATGTATTGAGGGTCATTTGTTTTGTGTGGATATATTCATGCATGCATTACATTCATCATTCATTTTACCATTGTGAATAGCCGAGGGTAACGGTTGCTTCACGACCAATTTCAAAGTTCCGTGCGACTGACACTAGGGGGCGAAATGCGACAATCGTATGCGAATGTCGTGTGCAGTGGAAAGGCGGCTTAAGACTAAAGAGACCGCGCTGTAAGTCCTACGGCCTGCCTAACACACAAATAGAAAAGACGCGCGTCAGTATCGAGTTCTCTTTTGGGCTTGAACAAACCGTAACACACAAATTATGCCAAAATGTCGGATTTGTCGAGTGTCCTCATAAGATCAGTCTTAAATGATTTAAATAAAGTCTTAAATGAACGTAGAGATTTGTGAGAAAATGGGACGAGTGTCAGATCGCGTCTCTGTCAGCAGCGGCTGGTCTTAAAGTGTCATTATGTTAAATCAAAGAACGATAAGAGACTAAATTACTCACTCAGACCCGGCGCCAGGAGGATTGTTATACCTGTAGCCTAATAATCATGAATGCACTCCGCTATATTTAACATCTCTGGCGAACGGCTTCTTCACGCAAAAGAAAAACTCTTCATGAAGCGCAGTGAAATTCAGCGACCATGGCGTTTCCTGATGGATCGAGGTTGTTCGTTAACTTAAATTTTTACGTGCAATTCACACAAGCTCAAAGCACATGCGA